GGGTCACCATGCCCAGCTAATTTTGTATGTTCAATAGAGATGGGGTTTCTCCATGTAGATCAGGCTGATCTCGAACTCTGACCTTAGGTGATCTGTCCACCTTAGCCTCCCAAAGTGCTGGGATTACAGGTGTGAGCCACCATGCCTGGCATTTCCTGAAATTCTTTTTGGGTTTGTTTTTATTTTGTCCTGTTTTTTGTTGCTGCTATTGTTGTTTTTACTTATTTTTTATCTTCTGTAACTTCAGTGTATGCACAACGAAGGCAGTGTCTTTAACTGCCATGTCTACCGCTATACCCTTGGGACCTAGAACAGTACCCAATACATCCTAGGAATTTAATAAATAATAGTTGAATAAATTGAATAAATGAATTACTCAGAAGTGGTGATAATTTTAAGCTATGCTCTTTAAAATTTTCTATTCTGGAGCCATTAGAAAGAGGAAAAGAATTATATTTTTCTTTCTTTTTATAACTTTTTATTACTGAAAATATCAAAGGTACGGAAAAGCAGGATAGCATAATAAACTGCTATGAATGCATCATCCAGCTTCAACAGTGTTACAAATCTGTTTTCAAGACCCTACCTAATTTTTCCCTGGACTGTTTTAAAGAAAATTCCAGGCATCATATGATTTTACCTGCCCTTTATAAAAAATAAGTGATAATTTTCGCTTATTTTTTATTGTTTTAAAAATGCCTTTTTACGTTTGATTTGTTGAGTTAGGATCCTAACAGTGTTCACACTTTGCAATTAGTTGATATGTCTTTTAAGTCTCTTTTATGTATAAAAGTTCACCTTTTAAGTTTATGCCATTTATTTGCTGGAAAAAGTCAGATCATCTTGTAAAATTTCTCACATTCTGAATTTGGTGATTATATCCTTGTGATGTTTAACATGTTCCCCCTTTGTGTTTTCTTTAAAGTGATAGATTTTGAGGCTTGATTAGATTCAATTTCCCTTCTTCTGGCAAGAATATATCATAGCTTGTACAGTGTATTTTTCATTGTATTACAGGAGAGTGTGTTGTCCTACCTTCAGAGATGTTAAAGCTGATTAGCAGGCTCCAGATCACCCTGATTCGTCCATTGTAAAGTTCTGCCTCAGCCTTTCACCTAATGGTTTTAACAACCATTAATGATCATTGCCTAAATCCATTATTTCATTAGTGACTTTTTTTTCTAATTCTGTCATTCCATCTATGGAAGGATGAAATTTTCTTTTAATTAGTGGTTACCCTGAAATGCAGTTGGCACAAGAAAGGCAAGATGATTGCTTTCCATTTATTTTTTTCTGTTTATTATTTTTCAGAGGCATGTGTTGTTTCCTTAACAACCCCACAAAGGTGACTAATTTTTCAAAATATCATTTTGGGTGTTTCATAAATTTGCATTTCAATCCATCACATTATATATTTTTAGTATTTATATTATTCCATTTTTGGGCATTGGGAACCCCTTCAGTTTGGCTCTGTACCCTTTGATGTGACCCAGTAATTTTGATAGTTTATTGACTGTTTCTCAGGCCCATCCTTATACGTTTAAGGTCATAGGGTTTTTAATTCTTTAATTTTTATATTGATATTTATTTCCCAAGTATTGAAAATGTTAGTTTTTAATAGTATTTATGTTATTTATTTTTCTCTTCACTCTTGCCAGACTCTGTAATTATATAACTTTTACATAATAATGAAACAAAGTTAAGGAAGTACTCAAATAACACAGTCTGCTGTCTTACGGACCTAGTCTCTTTTTTTTCCTCAGCTCTTTCACTGAATTTCTGTCAGATGCCTCTTTTAACTTTAAGGGTTTGTACAAAAATAATAGTTAAATAACATAATATAACGTTTTTCTTTTTTCAACATTTTTCTCCCCCAGACTGGGTCTCACCCTGTTGCCCAGGCTGGAGTGCGGTGGATCAGTCATGGCTCACTTGCAACCTTGTACTCCTGGGATCAAGGGATCCTCCTGCCTCAGCCTCCTGAGTAGCGAGAACTACAAGCACACACCACCATGCCCTGCTAGTTTTTAAAATTTTTTTGTAGAGGTAGGGTCTCAATGTTGCCCAGGCTGATCCAGAACTCTTGGACACTAGAATCCTCCCACCTGGGCCTCCCAAAGTTCTAGGATTACAAGCATGAGCCACCATGCCTGCCCTATTTTTTTCAACTTTTATTTTGGATTTAGAGGGTACATGTACAGGTTTGTTATATGTGTATATTGCATGATGCCGAGGAATGCGGTATGTGCAGTCCTTTCACCTAGGTAGTAAGCATAGTGACACAGGATTTTTCTTCGTCTTTTTAAGACAAACTCTCACTCTGTAGCCCAGGCTGGCATGCAGTGGCTAGATCTCAGCTCATTGCAACCTCCAGTTCCCAGGTACAAGCAGTTCTTCTGCCTCAGTCTCCCAAATAGCTGGGACCACAGGCACGCCCCACCACACCTGGCTAATTTTTGTATTTTCAGTAGGGAGGGGGTTTCACCATGTTGGCCAGGCTGGTCTCGAACTCTTGACCTCAAGTGATCCACCCACTTTGGCCTCCCAAAGTGCTGGGATTACAGGCGTGAGCTACTGCGCCCAGCCAACACAGGATTTTTTTTGGCCACTTTGCGAGCCAGAGACCTGCGGCCAGTAGCATTCATGCACAGGCCTTGCTCAGGCCCAAGCTCACCAGAAGAAACGCCCAGTCTATTCAGCCTATTGGGCTGTGCCTGGCTTGCGCTCCAGTGCAGATCCTGCAGCCATTTCAACTGCACACTCAGACCCTGGTGGGAGTTGGGCGGTGAGCGAGCAAGCGCAGAGTCTGGCCGGCTGCTCCAAGCACTGAGGCAGGAGCAGGCTCTATGTGGGGCTTGTTGCTGGACCAGGGACAGGAGCAGGCTCCATGTGGGGCTTGTTGCTGGACCAGGCGTGTCACACTGATGGGAACACCGTGGCGCCCAAATAGGGGTGCCCGCAACCCTGAACCTCAGAGGGGCTGTTGCAGTGTGTTAATTGTGCTTTTAGTCCCGCCATCTGCAGCCGAATGGACAGCGAGTTCTTTCAGTGTCATCGCCTCACTCTGGTGTTGGTTTCCGTTGCGTGGGGTAGCTGCCCTCCACTGGCAGAGCGTGGAGGGCCACAGTATTACAGCCTTCTTTGTACCTGTGTTAGGTAGGTCCTGAGTTATTGTCCCCCATCCAAGAAGAATGAGGTTGTGCTGATGATCAAAGGGTAGGGAGGGCAGAGAAGAATTTTGTTGAATGACAAGAAACGGTTCTTAAGGGAGAGGACATGCAAGGGTGGTCTCTCTCTCTCTCTCATTGGGGCTGGGTCCAGGAGTTTATGGGCTCAGAGTGGGAGAGTGTATGCTGATTGGTTTGTGAGTATGCAAAAAAAGGCTAAAACAAAGTCGCCACTCAAAGGGGCATGATAATGTAAAAAAACCAATTAGGGAAAGGTAGATATCAAGTAAAATAGGTGACAGGTGGGGAATCAATCAGAGGAAAGTGTGACAAACAGGAAGAGAAGTTCTCAATCCAGTCTGTGGATTTATCCAGGACTTGTAGCTAGGCTTTAAATTGTCTTTCCCTTGAAGGTTGGGTTTTCCCTAGGGATCTACCCCATCTGCCTAGGCATCTAACTCCCTCTTGATGCTATCAATAGTACCTGATAGGTAGTTTTTCAGCCCTTTCCTCCTGTCTTCCCTGCCCCCTCTGTAATTCCCAGTGTCTGTTTTTCCCATCTTTATGTCCATGTGTACTCAATGTTTAGCTCCCACTTAGAAGTGAGAACATGAAATATTTGGTTTTCTGTTACACATTAATTTGCTTTGGATAATGGACCCCAGCTGCAGCGATGTTACTGCAGAGGATATGATTTTGTTCTTTTTTTTTTTTATGGGGCTTCATCATATTCCATCGTGTACATTTTATTTATCCAATTTACCACTGATGGGCACCCTGGATTGAACCTTGTCTTTGTTATTGTGAGTAGTGCTATAATGAACTACAAGTGCATGTGTCTTTCTGGTAGAATGATTTATTTTCCTTTGGGTATATACCCAGTAATGGGATTGCTGGGTGGAATGGTGGTTCTAAGTTCTTTGAAAAATCTTCAAATTGCTTTCCATAGTGGCTGAACTAATTTACATTCCCACCAACAGTGTATAAGCGTTTCTTTTTATATGCAGCCTTGCTAACATCTGTTATTTTCGACTTTTTAATCATTGCCATTATGACTGGTGTGAAATGTTTATCACTAAAATCAGAGACATGCAAATCAAAAACTTCATATAATTTATAAAAGGTTAGACAGCTATGAAGGCAGAGGGCTTCTACTGTCATTGTCAGCAGCAATAGTGTGTAAAGGAAACCACATCTAGCACTGTGTTGAGTAGATACTCAATATTTTTTTTTCTCCTAAATGTAGGTGACTTTAAGAGTAGTCTCGGCTGGGCGCGGTGGCTCAAGCCTGTAATCCCAGCACTTTGGGAGGCCGAGGCGGGTGGATCACGAGGTCAAGAGATCAAGACCATCCTGGTCAACACGGTGAAACCCCGTCTCTACTAAAAATACAAAAAATTAGCTGGGCATGGTGGTGTGTGCCTGTAATCCCAGCTACTCAGGAGGCTGAGGCAGGAGAATTGCCTGAACCCAGGAGGCGGAGGTTGCAGTGAGCTGAGATTGTGCCACTGCAGTCCAGCCTGGGCAACGGAGTGAGACTCTGTCTCAAAAAAAAAAAAAGAGTAGAGTCTCAATGGGCTGGGCTGGAATTCCAAAAGAGTAGTGTCTCCAAAGAATTCCAAAAGAATAATTCCTAAGGAAAGGAATTACTCCCACATGTTTAATTCTTAGAATTTATTTTTGTTCCTGCTGGAGAGGGGGCCATATTCTCCAAGCAATGCTGGTTGAGTTCTACTCTCTAAGATGAAATTTGAATATGAAAATGGGTTATATTAATAAGGAAGAAATATACAGTTATCTGATGCTAACTTGATCTACTTCTTTTTCTCCCAGATGATGGACATAAGAAAGCTCGAAACGCTTACCTGAATAATTCCAATTATGAAGAAGGAGATGAATATTTTGATAAAAATTTGGCACTCTTTGAGGTAATATTTGGGAGAAAACTGTGGACTGAGACTTTAGGAACAGAGATCTCATGATAGCCATTTTTTTTACATCATTTGGTTTTAAAATTGTACAAGCTGGATAATTTAATAACTAATGTTAAAAGAAAATATCATAATTATTGTAACTTGTAGTTAATTTTGTCTGTGTAATCTAATTATAGTGAGTAAATATCAAATTGTTACGTAGTAAAGAAGAGGAGTTTGACTTCTTGGACATATGGATAACCTTGCAATCTAATTCAGCTGTGATTTAAATGTTTTTATTAGAATAATCTTTCTTCTAAGTATAAATCAGTGTATTTCTCCACCCTTTGTCTGGAAAGACTATCATTTGCCTTAGAACTAACTAAACAAAATTACTGTAGGAAGCAGGCTGCCAAATTAGCAGGACCTGCTTGTCTTTTTTTATGTCAAATAATAATTGTATATATTTATGAATTACAGTGTGATATCTTGATATTTGTATACATTGTGGAATGATTAAATCAAGCTGATTAGCATATCTAGCACCTTGGATACTTATCATTTTTGTGGTAAAAATACTTGAATTTGACTTTCTTAGCAATTTTGAAATATACAATATATTATTATTAACTGTAGTCACTATGCTGTGCAATAGATCTCAAAAACGTATTTCTCCTAACTGAAACTTTAGACTCTGTGACTAACCTCTCCCCATTCCCCTACATACATCCCAAGCGTCTGATAACCACCATTCTGCTCTTTACTGCGAGTTCTACTTTTTAGATCCCACATGTAAAGTGAGATCATGTGATATTTATCTTTATGTGCCTGGCTTATTTCACTTTACATAATGAAGAGGACCTGTATATCTTATCTGAGTAAGACAACATGGACTCTGTGGCCAGACTCCACAACCTGTGGCCAGGTTGTTGAAAGGAGCTTGGTTTATTTCAGCACTACCTTTGCCTGGCTTTTGACAATAAGTGCCACTTCTCTATGTACCTCTTTTTGGTTTGTTTCTGAGACAGGGTCTTGCTCTGTCACCCACTCTGGAGTGCAGTGGCATGATCACAGATTGACCTTCTGGGCTCAAGGGAGCCTTCTACCTCAGCCTCCCTAGTAGCTTGGACTACAGGCATATATCACCACACCTGGCAGATTGCTAAAATCTTTTGCAGAGATAGAATCTCAGTATGTTGCCCAGGCTGGTCTTGAATGCCTGGGCTCAAGTGATCCTTCTGTCATGCCCTCCCAAAGCATTGGGATAGCAGGTGTGAGCCACCATGCCCAACTCAATTTTCCTTTTTTTTTTTTTTTTTTTTTGAGATGGAGTCTCACTCTGTCACCCAGGCTGGAGTGCAATGGCACAGTCTTGGCTCACTGCAACCTCTGCCTCCCAGGTTCAAGCCAACTCTCCTGCGTCAGCCTCCCGAGTAGCTGGGATTACAGGTGTGCGCCACCACACCCGGCTGATTTTTTGTATTTTTGGTAGAGACGGGGTTTTGCCATGTTGGCCAGACTAGTCTCGAACTCCTGACCTCAGGTGATCCACCCACCTCAGCCTCCCAAAGTGCTGGGGTTTCAGACGTGAGCCACCACGCCTGGCCACTTATTTTTTAAATAGCACTCTTTCTCATCTTCCTTCAAGCAGAGGTCTGAAATCAATATTTACTTCAGTCACAAAAGTTTTTCCTCAACCTGTCCCTACTTGTTGCCATAAGTAATAACTATAAATGTTAATAGCCAAAAAATGGGAGGTTCTATAACTAAGGATCATATTATTAATGTTCTTTACTAGGTTACTGTGATTTTGTTTTTACTAAAGTTACATAGCTACTAGAAAGAATGTAAGGTTTTGTTTGTTTTGTTTTTTGAGACAGGGCTCACTCTATTGCCCAGGCTAGTGTTCAGTGGCATGATCACAGCTCACTGTAACCTTAACTTCTGGGCCCTAGTAGCTAGGATTACAGGCATGTGCTATCATGTCTGGCTAATTTTTTAAGAAATTTTTTGTAGAGATTGAGGTCTTGAACTCCTGGCCTCAAGTAGTCCTTCCCCCTCAGCCTCCCAAACTGCTGGGATTACAAGCATGAGCTAGTAGTGCACCCAACCAGTAATGAAAGTTTTTATATAAGAATTTTATGAGTGGAAAACATCATGGAGGTTCCTCAGAAAATTAAAAATAAAATTAACCGTATGATCCAACAATTTCACTACTGGGCATATATCCAAATAAAATGAAATCAGAATGTCATTGATATTTTCACTCTCGTGTTTATGGCAGCATTATTGATAAAAACCAAAATATGTAATCAACCTGTGTCTATCAGTTAATGAATAAAGAAGATGTGATATATAGAGACAGTGGAATCTTATTCAGCCATAAAAAGAGTGAATGCTATCGTTTGTGAGGGCATAGATGAACCTGCAGGACATTGTTAATTGAAATAAGGCAGGCACAGAGAGACAAATACCATGGGAACTCACATGTGGAATCCAAAAATTCAAACTCTTAGAAGCAGAGAGCACAGAATAGAAGTTTCCATGAGGGAGGGAGAGAATGGGGGATGTTAGTCATAGGGCACAAAGTTTCAGTTAGGAGGAATAAATTTTTGAGATCTATTATATAGCTGGTGACTATAATTAATAATAATGTATATTTGAAATTGCTAAAACAGTAGATTTTAAATGGTGTCAGCACAAGATAATTTGAGGTGATGGATATGTTAATTAGGTTGGTTTAATCATTCCACAATGTGTACATATATTGAAGCATCACATTGTACAACATAAATATATGCATTTTTTGTCAAATAATTTTATAGAGACTCATGTTGCCCTGATTGTGTGATTGTCTAATGTGGGGAAGGGGGAGAATAAAGTCTCATTGGTAAATTTTTTTAAAATGTTTACCTGTGAAATATTTTTTTTTTTACTTTGAAGTTTTCTGGTAGCAAGATTTGACAGTTATGTTCAGTGTTCTTTGTAACTTATTTCTTCCGTGTCACTGGCTTTATAGGAAGAAATGGACACCAGACCGAAGGTGTCTTCTCTCCTCAACCGTATGGCCAATTACACTAATCTGACTCAAGGAGCAAAGGAACATGAAGAGGCAGAAAACATCACTGAAGGGAAGAAGAAGCCCACCAAGGTGAGGCCTCAGAATATCGAGGACTGCATAAAAAGAGCCCTGTATATAAGAAACAAGGAAATACCTAAGGCAGCATTCTGTGTTCAGTAGCTATTTATTAAATGTTTGATAGGTGCCTGGAACTGTTCTGAGCACCAGGGTCATAGCACAAACAAAACATACGATGCAGTCTAAATTCTAATGTGGGGATAACAGTCCTTAATGTTTTAACTGCCAAAATATATAACATATTAAGTGTTGATAAATGCTTTAACAGAAATTTAAACGGAGCAAAGAGACTGAAATTGGCAAGGGAACCAGAGTGGAGAGGGGTTGCTACTTTGATAGGTTGGACAGGAAAGCCTTTCTGACAAGGTGGTATTTGAGGAGAGATCTAGCTGTGAGGGAGTGAGCTATGTGGGAAAAGACCATTCAGGGAGACGGAATAGCTTTTCAAGAGAATTGTGTCCATACCCATCTGCTGATGCCATCTGTCTGTTGTGAAGTTGTTGGGTTTTTTAAAGACCAAACATTAGTTTGTCTCAAAATGAAAATATAAGACATTCAGTTTACCATTCTGGTTGTTCAGCTCTTTGAAAAAGGGATAAAATGGCCCTCAAACCTTCATTTTACGATCTATTTTATTTACCAATTACTGTGAAGAATTTATGCCAAATTCTGAAGAAATTCCATCAAGTCCTTATTCTTTTTAAATGAAAAAAGCCAATAGCTTTGTAAAACAAAATTTTAAATTGTTGTGGAAGCACATAAAAGTTCATTTGTGGCCAAATGCCTATGTAATAAAAACCTGTGGAAACTTTACAAAGTTAAAATGTATAGCTTTAGGAATAATGAAAGTATGGTGATAAACACTTGAAAGATGGAGACTTTATATGTGCCCTTTTGAAGATATTGATTAAACTTATGATCTCTGCTGTGAGACTAATATGGTAATTAGGGAGCAAGTTATTATATAAGAGATTGAAAACCTGTCTTTAGGATAACTGTTTAATTTTTTGTCAATGTCTTTCTTTCTAGACCCCCCAAATGGGTACCTTCATGGGTGTCTACCTCCCATGTCTACAAAATATTTTTGGAGTGATCCTTTTTTTACGCCTTACATGGGTGGTGGGCACAGCTGGAGTTCTTCAGGCTTTTGCAATTGTCCTTATCTGCTGCTGCTGTGTAAGTATTGCACTGGCACCTGGAGATCACCTGAATGTTGCAGGTTCTCAAGAGTAGATGAACACGACCTCTTTGGGAATAAAACAGAGAATACTAGGGAAGGATTCATGATCTCAACAGAAGAAATTATTCTGATATTAAAATCAAAAGGATTTTCATTCATTTAGTGCCTATTAGTTACTGCTTGCTGTCCATTACATGATATACTAGAAATTACAAAGCAAGACTTCAAATGGAAATAGAAGATGAAGGTCCTGTCTTCAAAGAATTCAGAATCAGAACCATTTGAGCTTGATAGCACCAAAGTTGTGACAGAAAGTGTGTTAGAAAATGTGATGTATTACTCCAGTATATATTGAGAAACAAGACAGGTTACTGGGGATGTGAGGGGTAATTGTTATTTTTATTTTGTTTTGAAGTCTCTTCCCTTTTCCCTTCCTTAAGAATTCAGATGTTCTTTCCAGGTCTTCTCTCTACTCTACTGAGAACATTTGTGTCTTCCCTTAATTTAAACTTCTCCTATTCATGTATCCCAGCCACAACGATGAATTTTACAGGTTTCTGCTGTCCTCTTTTACCACTATGACCATTTTACTCTACCATTATATTATGCCCAGCTGATGGGTATACAGCTGATGAGCAAAACAGGTTAAGCAGGCACAGTTCATATATTTAGTAACTTAAAACTAGTGGTACCACCTTTTTTTTAAGTTTCTCAGGGTTAAAACCTTAAGGCTATGTTTGCCTTCTGAATTGCTTTTCACATCTAATCAGCTACCAAAGCTAACCTATTCTCTTTCTGAAATCTTTTACACTCAGCCCTTTTTATTCACACTACCACCTCTGTAGTTTTTAACTCTCACTGAACTACTGTGGTAGCCGGCCAACCAATCACTCAGCCTCCAGCTACTCCTATCTGCAGTCCATTCTGTACTGTGCTTACCAGGTAATGTTTTTTAAATGCAGTTCCTATGTGCTCAGAAGCCTTCAGGGGTTCCCTTCCTTACTGAATATTGTTCTTGGTATTGTGTTTAGTCTTTAGTCAGGTTCTAACCTATTTTCTGCGTTCTCTAGTTACTTCTTTTGAGTATACTATGCTGTATTTCCTGTGTAACTAGGAAATCCAGAGTAAGATTAGCAGTTGTTTTTGTTTTGTTTTGTTTTGTTTTGAGACAGTTTCACTCTTGTTGCCCAGGCTGAAGTGCAATGGCACCATCTCAGCTTACTGCAACCTCCACCTCCTGGGTTCAAGCAATTCTCCTGCCTCAGCCTCGTGAGTAGCTGGGATTACAGGCATGCGCCACCATACCTGGCTAATTTTGTATTTTTTAGTAGAGACAGGATTTCTCCATGTTGGTCAAGCTGGTCTCGAACTCCTGACCTCAGGTGATCTGCCCGCCTAGGCCTCCCAAAGTGCTGGGATTACAGGCATAAGCACCGCAACTGGCCAGAGGAGATTAGCAGTTCTTAATAACACCTGACCTACTGATGTGGGAGCATTTTGACAGAATCCTCCAGATATTAATGGTATGACTAGTGCAATGAAGTGAACCATATCATCTTATTTCCATATCATTAGGTATAACTGTCCATAAAAGGAGATGGAGTTAAATGTTTGCCAAGTGGTCTTGGAACACCAGTGGAGAAGTAGTATAGAAATGTTATCTTTGCACAGTAACAATGCTCTCCTTTCCCTTTCCCCGCAGACTATATTGACTGCTATCTCCATGAGTGCCATTGCCACTAATGGAGTGGTGCCAGGTTAGTAGGCCAAGGTTGTATTTCAGGATTTATCAGTGTTGACTCTGTGTTTATGCTATAAAGCAAGAGGTACAAACTTCTGAGGAAAAGAGTACTATTTAGTTTGTTCTGTGCTGCAACAGACTAATGGTCTATAGCACATAGACATACTACCACTTGACTTTAAGATGCCTTTTAAAAAAATCTATTTTTTAAACTAGAATGTGTTAATTTCAGTCATATTCTTAGCTTGTATTAGTTAGAAAAATGTGTGTGTCTGTGTGTGTGTGTGTGTGTGTGTGTGTGTGTGTGTGTGTATTTAGAGACAAAGTCTCAGTCTGTTACCCAGGCTGGAGTGCAGTGACACAATCAGCTCACACAACCTCCAATTCCTGGGCTTAAGCTACCCTCCCATTTTAGCCTCCTAAGGAGCTGGAACTAAAGGTGTATACCACTATGCCCAGCTTTTTTTTTTTTTTTTTTTTTTTTTTTTTAATTTTGAGACAGAGTTTCACTCTTGTTGCCTAGGCTGGAATGCAATGGCGCGATCTTGGCTCACTGCAACCTCTACCTCCTGGGTTCAAGCAATTCTCCTGCCTCGGCCTCCTGAGTAGCTGGAATTACAGGAGCCTGCAAAAACACCTGGTTAATTTTGTATTTTTAGTAGAGACAGGGTTTCCTCCATGTTGATTAGGCCGGTCTCAAACTCCTGACCTCCGGTGATCCACCTGCCTTGGCCTCCAAAGTGCTGGGATTACAGGCATGAGCCATTGTGCCCTGTTTTTGTTTTGGTTTGTTTAATTTTTTGTAAAGATAACTTCTCACTGTGTTGCCCAGTCTGGCCTCAAGCAGGCCTCTCGCTTCATCCTCCCAAAGTGCTATGATTAGAGGTGTGAGCCTCCACACCCAGCCAGATGTATTTTATTGGGCCATCTCAAGTCATAGTAAATATTCTCTAATTTATTTCTAAGTAATGCTGGCAAACTGTATTGCTTCACATGGCTCATTACATTAGATGTGCAGTATATCCGACAATAACCCTGTCATCTTTTACTTCCCACAAGCAAGTCTTTTTATCACATTCAGGGTTTATAGAAGCCTGAAACGTTTAGCCTTCCTGTATATTTTTATTCTTATTTATGATTTGATCACATTCCTCTTACTAATACACACTCTTTCTCCTATTCATCTTCTATTTTGTCTTTTAGCTGGGGGCTCATACTTTATGATTTCCCGAGCACTGGGCCCAGAATTTGGCGGGGCTGTTGGCCTCTGTTTTTATCTTGGTACCACATTTGCAGCAGCCATGTACATTCTTGGTGCCATTGAAATCTTTCTGGTAAGTAATGACTTCATTGTGGTGTATAATGTAGCAGAAATATTGATTTGGGTTTATTCTTTGATATGAAAGCTTCTGAGAGATTGGCTGTAGGAATAAATCAGGTGATTGACTGCCCACCTGAATTGGCTTCTTACTGTGAATATGAGGTTAAAAGGTTGAAATTCCCTTTGCCTGTTCCTTCTTCTCTACCTGATTGCCACCACTCTGCCACCTCATCGAAGAGGGTCAAGCCTTGGAGGCAAGACTTGCGCCAATGGGGAAAAAGTAAAATAAATTTTATCATTTTTGATATCTTCTTCCCTATGAAATAAAATATTTCTCATTTCTCTACTCACTGAGACATATTGTTTACTATTTAAAGTAGTGACAGCAGAATCAGAGTTAAAGATGATTATTATATTTATTTTATATAACCTTATAAATAAAATTATTAGTTTATCCCTTTCTATTAGGAAATGTAGCTATTCAGAACAGCATGTAGACCAAACATATATATATATACCATGACATCCCATTCTGTAGGCATTTCAGATCCTATTAGAAACTAGGCTAATTCTCTAGTCATTTTCTGTCTCAGCTTTGCTTTCTTTTGTAAAAGTAGATGCAAACAACTACAGCCTTTTTTACTTGTTTTGGAATAACCTAATTTTGTACTTTTTTTAACCTAACAGGTATATATCGTTCCCCGGGCTGCCATCTTTCGCAGTGATGATGCACTCAAGGAAGCAGCAGCCATGCTAAATAACATGCGTGTCTATGGCACAGCTTTCTTGGTCCTTATGGTATTAGTGGTATTTATCGGCGTACGCTATGTGAACAAGTTTGCCTCACTTTTTCTGGCCTGTGTCATTGTGTCCATCTTGGCCATCTATGCTGGAGCCATCAAGTCTTCCTTTGCCCCTCCACACTTCCCGTACGTGTCTGTCTCTCTGCCTAACCATCCTTATTGGGTAGTAATGGAAAGTATCTGGTGGTATGATAATTCCAAGTCAGAATTTCATGGAGTCTCTCTGAGATTTTCCCCTTTGGATAAGCCCAGTTACACTTCCTTCCTTGTCTAGGCAGGAAGCCTCCCAGCAAACTATGTCCTGTTCATCCTTTTTCTTACGTAGAACTAGTAGCTATAACAATCATTTAGGTACAGATACTAGGTTTTTTTCTCCCTGATAATTGTACATAATCTTTTTTATTATACATGTTTTGAACTATTGGTATTTAAATGTTGGATTTCTTTTACTAATGAAAAATCAAGGGAATCAAAGGAAACCTAAAATGTTTAATAAAATAAAAGGAAATATTAATAATTTGCATGTGTCTCTATATGTATGTAATATTAACTCTAATACAACTGCCTTTTTTCATCTTTTTTTAAACATTTGTATATATTTATGAGGGTACAAGTATAATTTTGTTACATGTACATATTGTGAGTGGTGAAGTCAGGGCTTTTATTTTTTATTCATTTATTTTTGAGATGGAGTCTCACTCTGTTGCTCAGGCTGGAGTGCGGTGGCATGATCCCAGCTCACTGCAACCTCTCCCTTCTGGGTTCAAGTAGTTTTCCCACCTCAGCCTCCCAGGTAGCTGAGATTATAGGCATGTGCCACCACACCCAGCAATTTTTTTTTCTTTGTAGAGACAAGATTTCACCATGTTGGTCTGGCTGGTTTCGAACTCCTAACCTCAGGTGATCTACCATCACGTGAGCCTGGCCTTTTTTTTTTTTTTTTTGGGACAGTCTCGCTCTGCCGCTAATGCTGGAGTGTACAGTGGCACTATGTGGCTCACTGCAACCTCTACCTCTCGGGTTCAGGTGATTCTCCAGTCTCAGCCTCCTGAGTAGCTGGGACCACAGACACAGGCCACCGTGTCTGGCTAATTTTTGAATTTTTAGTAGAGATAGTGTTTTACCATGTTGGCCAGTCTGGTCTGGGACTCCTGACCTCAAGTGATCTGCCCACCTCAGCCTCTCAAAGTGCTGGGATTACAGGTGTAAGCCACTGCACCCAGCCCAAGTCAGGGCTTTTATCTACTACCCAAATAATGTACTTTGTACCCATTAAGTACTCTCTTATCATCCACCTCCCCCTTCAACTCCATAGTGCAAATACCTTAAAGTATGTTTTTTGAAGTAGTAATGGATTTGTGCAGATCTGTGACTCATAGGCCCACTTTTCCCTTTGACTAGTGGCATAGGGACTAGCTGGCACTGAGTGTTATTTGTAGTCTTGTTACAGGATTATCTTGAAAAGTCATCTGGATTATCTGAGGATCAAGCTCATTGGTCCTATGTTGATTTAACCAGATTACAGAAAAAGAGATTTTTCAAGACAAAAAGACAGGTCCATTGAGGCTTAATGACTTACCTCAGAGTTAATAAATGGCAGAGCAAGAAGGTGAACTGTGATTTTATGACTCCCCATTCATTATTTCTTTTATGCCATGCTATATGATGGCAGAAGTAGATTCCATGTTAAACTTTTAATCTGCTTGTCTAGGGACTGTAATATAGCTGAAGGTCCTTTTTAGAGTCATAAAAGTTCTAAAGTTGACAGTCTGGCTGTATCTCAACTTGGGAAATTCCATTTTGCCTCAAGTTCACCTTTGAGGCTTCTCTTCTTCTTTGATCAGTACACAGTCATAATGCGTGGCATTTTCTTTGAGATATTCCAGCAAAACAAGACAGATCTAGAAGAATACATGAAACAAGGCTGAGAAATGTTGAGAGTTGTTGAAGCTGAGTAGTAGGTACATGGTTCATAATAATATATGCAATCATTTTGCAAATTTTAAATGTCTCTTTGTTGAATCTGAGAGGTATTTTAACTATGGGTGTATTATTCCTTTGTTTATATTTGTGTCTCTGGGTTAAAGAAAAAAATAAAACCCGCAGTTAATATTTGTGTTATAGTTACCCTCACTCCCACTGGGTCTAGGCAGAAGTTCAAAAACAGTTTTCTCTTAGGCCATCGAGGGATTTGCCTTTTAATTCTGGCCAAGCTGTTTTCCTTGCAAAGTAGTCAGAAGATTCCACTTTTAGCATAACATTTTCAAGGTGTTTTTATGAATGTCAGGCTTTTCTAGGCCAAAAAAAGAGGAGTACCTTTTTCTTTATAAGAACAACAAAAGGACTTCAGTATTCTTTTAGACCTAACAATTTTAGCCAAAAATTTTGGAAGATGAATCAGCATAATGTCTTCAGGCAGTTCTTCAGTTTGAGTTCTGTCACTGCCACCTGCCACCTATGACCTTGGACACAGAACTATATTTCCCTAACATTCAGTTAACTCCCTAACTTCCTGAACTTCAATAACTTCATCTACAACATAGAAATTCTAATACATCGTGATGTTGCTGTAAGGATTAAATTGGCAGAAAATGTTAAGTCACCACTCACAGTGCTGAAATAAATTATAAATAAATAAACATTAGTTTCTTTCCTACCTTTGATAGTAGAAGCTCTTGGAGATGAGGTTCTTGTTTCCTTTACTAACCTGTTTACTTTTTTTTTTTTTAATGTATTTTTTTTCCCTACTTGATCTCTCTCCCTATTTCTTTTCACTTAGGGTCTGCATGCTGGGTAACCGCACCCTTTCATCAAGACACATTGATGTTTGCTCTAAGACCAAGGAAATTAACAACATGACAGTCCCATCAAAGTTATGGAGATTCTTTTGTAACTCGAGTCAATTTTTCAATGCCACCTGTGATGAATACTTTGTTCACAATAATGTCACTTCAATCCAGGGCATTCCTGGATTGGCTAGTGGTATCATTACAGGTAAGTTAGGGAGTTATTGGACAAGGTTTTTACTGTTTTCTGAGGAAAATAGGCCTTGTCATCTTAGATTCTTCTACTGTCCATAAAGATTCGCTGCCATGGTGCTACTTGCCTTCTTAAGCACGCCACACGGCTCTTAATTCAACATATTTCTGTTTTTCCATTAGTAAAGCTGTCCTTATTTAGGACTCCTTTACAGAGTGGTATCTGCTAACATGCACTTCCATTTCAGAGCAGAGTTGAGCAAATCACTTTCTAACCTTCGGATAAAATATTCTGTGTCTTGTAAAATTGCCAATGTTCTTCCTGCACTGACAGAATAGAACTGTTTGAATGTCCACACCCACATGTATCTTCCTTAGTTAAATTCCTGAAACATTCCTTAAGTGACTTCTATCATAAATGTTTGGTCTGGAAATTCTTTGCCCAAAAGTAAGTTTACATTAAGGTAATAGAAACAGCATTGATGACTAATAAAAAATATTAATGGGATTTGTGGGGCATTTAGTTTTACTCTGTTTAACTTTTACTGGTTTGCATTAGTAAAGTTAAACTGCATTTATATGTACCAAATCATTTTGTCAAATTATATTTAAACTAGATAAGAAAGAGCACTATATTTTTATTTTTGTGTGTTTTATTGTGCAATATGTGTGTGTATATGTGCTCATGTAGAAGCAGACACACCTTTAGAAACTGTATAAATGAGGAACTTGATTTTGAATGTTGTTTCGGTAGAAAATTATCTGATTATCTTCTTTCCATACTGTTGCTGCTTAAATTCCCATTTTTCCCACTCTAGAGAATCTTTGGAGTAATTATCTGCCCAAGGGAGAGATCATTGAAAAGCCATCAGCCAAATCTTCTGATGTCTTAGGCAGCTTAAACCATGAATATGTTCTTGTTGACATCACCACCTCCTTCACGCTTCTAGTGGGAATCTTCTTTCCCTCTGTTACAGGTAAGCACATGAGCTGTTGTCTATTTTAGAAGCTGTCAGACCCAGGAAGTGATTTTTCTCAGGGGAGCAGAATTCTCATGGTTCCTAGATTTGCTTCTAGTCTTTGCTATCAGTATCAGTATCAAAGTATCCAAGAAGTTAACTTGATTTTTTCCCCTTATCTCTAAAGGTATCATGGCTGGATCAAACAGATCTGGAGATCTGAAAGATGCTCAGAAGTCTATTCCCATTGGTACTATCCTTGCCATCCTGACCACCTCCTTTGTCTGTATCCTTTTATGGATCTGGTCTGAGTCTTAGTCATAGGAACGTAACTAGATGATCAGTATTTTTATCCTGGTAACAAAGATACCTGCTTTCTATCACTTCACTTCTTGCCAGATAATCTGTCGACCTCATATAGAAAATTCAAAAAAGAATTTATAGGAGTATTTAGCAACTCATTTTACTGACAGAAGAAATATTCTGAGTGTCTACTTTCTATCTCATGTTAGAAGGTAAACAGTTTCCTTGACTCTCAATATGGTAGATTTAAGCAACGTTGTCCTTTTTGGTGCATGTATTGAAGGGGTTGTTCTCAGAGACAAGTGAGTAATTAATCTCTTTGTAACAATTCTGTGTCTGTCTGCCATGACTTCTGATCGTTCCACATAGCTCCAAGACAGTTACAAACTCAACACAGCCAGGCACTGTGGCCCCTGCTATAATCCCAGCACTTAGGGAGGCCAAGGCGGGTGGATTGCTTGAGCTCAGGAGTTTAAAACCAGCCTGAGCAATGTGGCAAAACCCTGTCTCTACAAAAAGCACAAAAATTAGCTAGGTGTGGTGGTGTGCACCTGCAGTCCCAGTTACCTGCGGGGCTGAGGTGGGAGGATCACTTAAGCCTGGGAAGGCAAAACTGTAGTGACCTAAGATCACACCACTGCACTCCAGTGTAGGTGACAAAGTGAGACCCTTTCTCAAAAAAATAACCCAACCTGAGCTATCATTTATGACTAACAATAAGAAAATATATGTATGTAGTTCCCAAAGAGGCGAGTATTTTCTAGTAAATATGTGAGACAGTTATAGTTCTTCAAAAACGCAGTGAATTTGTCTGAATAATGACTTCCCTGTACATGAAGAACTGTTCAGAAACGAGACCAAAAGTAAGAGCAAGTAAAAAAAATTTCAAGTGTCTCTAGCATCTCTTCTATGAGAGATAAGTATCTAATTGTGTTTGGCATTCTAAATAAAAGCCTGAAACTTACTTTCTTCATCTTCTGTTCTTTTCTCTTGTCTTCTTTTCTGCTTATTTATTTAGAGACAAGGCCTTGCCCTATTGCCCAGGCTAGAGTGCAATGGTGCAAGCATAGCTCCCTAGAGCCTCAAACTCCTGGCATCAAGCAGTCCTCCCTTTTCAGCTTCCCAAGTAGCTGGGACCACACCTAGCTAGTTTTTTGTTTGTTTGTTTGTTTGTAAAGATGGTGCCTCACTATTTAGTCCAGGCTGGTCTGAAACTCCTGGGCTCAAGCAGTCCTCCCGCCTTAGCCTCCCAAAGTGCTAGGCTTATAGACATGAGCCACCATCCTCAGCCCTTTCTCCTATTCTTTTTTTAAAATTGCCCACACTACACAGATCTGTCTCCTATTCTTTGTCCACATCACTCATTTTGTACAGGCCTTCAGAATTTTTGCCTATGTTATTGTAATAATCTCCTTTTTAGTTCTACCCTCTAATCCTTCCTCCACACTGCCACCAGAATGGCTTTTCTAAAACACAAAATTGAACATAAAAACCTCCCTGCTGCAGCACCTGCCAATGCCTCTTAAAATCCATCACTGGCTGGGTGTGGTGGCTCATGCCTGTAATCTCAGCACTTTGGGAGGCTGAGGCAGGCATATCATGAGGTCAAAAGCTTGAGACCATCCTAGCCAACATGCTGAAATCCTGTCTCTATAGTAAAATACAAAAATTAGCTGGGCGTGGTGGCACATGCCTGTAGTCCCAGCTACTCAAGAGGCTGAGGCAGGAGAATTGCTTGAACCCGGGAGGCAGAGGTTGCAGTGAGCCGAGGTCACGCCACTGCACTCCAGCCTGGTGACTTACCAAGGCTCTGATTCAAAAAAAAAAAAAAATCCATCACTGTGATCTGGCCCTCTCTACCTCTTATCTCCTGCCATTCCCTCATAAATTCCCTAACTTAGAGTTTAATATGTCTTGTTATATCTCCACTTGTATACACATTAGTCTTTGTTGTTTCCTTTGCTTAGAATAGGTTACTCCCACTTAGCTGGCTCATATTCATCCTCTAAGAGACTAGGCTAAGGGTCTTTCCTCCTGTAAAGCTTTCCCATACTCACCCAAACAGAGGTAAACACTCCTCCCTTTGTTCAGCCACTCTATTTGAATATACTATTTTATGGTATTTATGATGCTATATTGTAGCTACTTGTTTTCATATCACTCTACCTACACATTGAGCTCTTTGAGGACTCAAAGCCTAATAGATGCAATATAAATATTGTTGACAAAAATAAACAGCACAGTGTATATATGTATGTAACACAGTATATATGTGTGGGTGTATGTATGTATGTATGTAGTATAGTATATCACCATACCCTTGTAATAGGAAATTCATGGAGCTTTCGTAAGTTACACGATAAAATAAAAATTATTATTGAGACTGTAAATTAGAGTATCATTTTGGAAAACTATTGGTTATTATCTCCTAAAGAAGAACATCCACTTACCTATGACTCAGCATTTCCTCTCTAGATATATCTAATAGAAATGCTTACACATATGCATCAAGAATAATTAACAAGATTTTTCACAGTAGTGTTTTTTTGTTTTTGTTTTTGACTGCTTCATTTTCCCTTTGTAAGTATTATTCTTAATAGCCAAAACCTGGAAATAATCAAAATGTCCATCACTAGTAGAATGATTAAATTATATATTCATGTAATAGAAAACCATATAGCAATCAAAGTAAGTCATAGCAATATATACCCACCCCCCCAAAAAAATTCACAAGCAATGCTAAGTGAAGAAAACCAAACATAAAAGTATGTACTGTATATCATTTATATAAAATTTTAAAATGGTAAAACTACATAGTATTCAAAGTCAGCGGGCTGGGTATGGTGGCTCATGCCTGTAATCCCAGCACTTTAGGAGGCTGAGGCTAGAAAAGTGCTTGATGTCAGGAGTTCCAGACCAGCCTACGCAACATAGCAAGACCTTGTCACTACAGAAAGTAAAAAATTAGCTGGGCCTGTTGGCATATGCCTGTAGTGCAGCTACTGGGGAGGCTGAGGCAGAAAGATCAAGTTGAGCCCAGGAGGTCAAGGCTACAGTGAGCCATAATCACAGCACTACAGTCCAGCCTTAGTGACAAAGCAAGACCCTGTCTCAAAAAACAAACAAACAAAAAAAAGATCAGGAGAGTAAATAGTGGAGAGGAAGAAAGAGCTTATCATTGGGAATGGGCATAAGAGAGAATTTTGGGTACTGGCAGTGTTCTGTTTCTTGACCTGCATGGAACATAGGTGTTTGCTTTGTGGAAATCTTCAGATGTACATTTGTTGTTTTTTGCACATTACTTTTTGTGTGCTTACTAAAAATTGTTAAAACAAGTAATAAAACTGATGCCATCTTTTTTTTTTTTTTTTTTTTTTTTTTGAGACGGAGTTTCGCTCTTGTTACCCAGGCTGGAGTGCAATGGCGCAATCTCGGCTCACCGCAACCTCCGCCTCCTGGGTTCAGGCAATTCTCCTGCCTCAGCCTCCTGAGTAGCTGGGACTACAGGCACGCGCCACCATACCCAGCTAATTTTTTGTAGTTTTAGTAGAGACGGGGTTTCACCATGTTGACCAGGATGGTCTTGATCTCTTGACCTCGTGATCCACCCGCCTCGGCCTCCCAAAGTGCTGGGATTACAGGCTTGAGCCACCGCGCCCGGCCGATGCCATCTTTCACCCATCAAATTAGCAGTGATCAGGCTGGGCGTGGTGGCTCATGCTTGTAATCCCCGCACTTTGGGAGGCCGAGACGGGTGGATCACCTGAGGTCGGGAGTTCAAGACCAGCCTGACCAACATGGTGAAACCCCATCTCAAAAAAAGTTAGCAGTGATCTTAATATTTTTATTTTAATACATAAGACTGGTATGGAGTGTGCATGTGCCATAAGACTTGAGTACTATTATTCAAATCACTACAAATTTTTATTCATAGCTTTTTATGACACAGAAAAATGCTTATGTTTTAATAATACAGAATTATAGGTGCAGTGAGATCTCAGTTTTTCTAAAAAGCAGATATTTTTGATACTCTGAAGGGGAAAGTTACACCTGAAGCTTAGCTTATTTTCTAGCCCCATATGTATTTTTTTCCTAATATAGGTAAATTTTGATCAAATTTGGCTTTTGATCAAATCTGGCTATCTTTATATTTCATAATATTATTTGCCTCATTTTTGATTCTCTAAAACTTATAAATGGAAAAAAAAGAAAAATGAGCGGGCCAGATGCTGTGTCTCACACCTGTATTCCTAGCACTTTGGGTGGCCAAGGCAGGTGAATCACTTGAGGTCAAGAATTTGAGACCAGCGTGGGCAACATGGTGAAACCCTGTCTCTACTGAAAGTACAAAAATTAGCTGAGTGTGGTGGTGCACACCTGTAATCTCAGATGTTAGGGAAGCTGAGGCAGGAGAATCACTTGAACTTGGAGATGGACTTTGGAGTGAGCCAAGATTGCGCCACTGCACTCCAGCCTGAGTGATAGAGTGAGACAAAAAAAGAAAAAAAAATGAGGGGGTAAATGTCTCTCTAGTATTTCAGTCTAAAGTTATTTCCAGATTAAATTTCCCCACTCGTGTTTCCTTTCCAGATTTGGGGATGCTGTGAAAGGTAATTTGGTGGTGGGCACCTTATCTTGGCCATCCCCATGGGTGATTGTTATTGGCTCCTTCTTTTCAACGTGTGGGGCTGGACTTCAGAGCCTCACAGGTGCACCAAGGCTGCTACAAGCTATTGCTAAGGATAACATCATACCATTTCTAAGAGTAAGTGACCTTTTTAAATGCCCTCTTCTTTTTTTCCCAGCTTTAATGAGAAACAGTATGGTCTTCATGGGCTTAGAAATTACTAGATCATAAATGTAGGGACATGGGTTTTTAGCACAAGACCCTCTAAATTCCACGCATAAGTTTACGTGTGAGTCTGTAATGGTGTTTAAAAGATATCACAGTTGTAACGCTGTTATCTTCCACATGTCTGAAACCGTAGGCTGGAGGAATCAGAGAGCATTGACTCAGTGCTCCTATGCCTGATATTTCCTTTCTGTGTACAGGTTTTTGGCCACAGCAAAGCCAATGGGGAACCTACCTGGGCTTTACTTCTAACTGCTGCCATTGCAGAGCTTGGAATACTTATTGCCTCCCTGGATCTTGTGGCCCCAATTCTTTCCATGTAAGAACCAATGCTTCTCTTCAGTTTTTCTTGTTTAAATGATAAAGAATACATGTTTATTTCCATTAGTCATATAACAGTAGTGACAAGAGTGGGCTAACAACGGATGTAACTTCACTTAAATAAAAATCATTTCTGAGAACTTTCAAGTAGCACTGACTTTTGTAAGTTATTAGGTTTTTGCCTACCTATTTAACTTGAGTTCTTTGGCTTCATTTCTAATTCATTATCAGTTGGTTGTAGCTTTTATGACCACTGTTAGTTTTTTTATTTATTCACCTGTGACTTACTGATGGCTTACTACTTACTACTGATGGCACTGTCTAATATGGTACTCTGGGAATACAAAGATGGATAAGACGATCTTATGGCACTGATAATGGATAAGGAAACCAATAATCCATATATAGTGTGATGAGTGCCATGCTAAAGGTGAACACTGAGTACCACAGGAACACCAAAGCAAGACATCTAAACAGACGGAAATGCAAGAAAGATTTTGTGGAGGAAGTGATACTTGTATCTTGAAGAATGACTGGTTATTTGCTAAGAAAACAAGGGATGACAGCCATTCCAGGCAGAGAATGTGTCTAAAGGAATTAAGGAATGATATAAGGTAGCACATCCGGAGAACTGGAAGTAGTTTGGCTAGAGGGGAGGGTGCATGTTGAGGGAGAAGCAGAATAGAGCAGTAAGTAGACCAGATCACAGAGGACCTGGAAGTAGTGGGTAATCTTTGAGAAGAAAATGATAATGCTTTAGGATGATCAGTCTGGTATAAAAGATGGATTCGAAGGAGGCTAGAATTGAGCTGGGAATGCTAATTGGAAAGAAGATATGAGAGCCTGAGCTAAGGTGATTAGTAATAGAGATGAAAAGGAAGAGAAGCAGCTTAGAGATTTTTAAGTAGAATCCATAGGACTTGGTTAGTGAATTTGGAACAAGGGTAAGGAAGACGAAATGTGGATTATCCTAAGAACAACTGGGTAAAGAGTGGTTGTGTCACTGAGAGAACAGAGAAGGATTAGCAGGTTTGTGGGGAGAGGTTTAAGTTTCTCTGCTTCCTATTTAATCAGGGGTTAGTTGTCTAGAAACAGGCGTCAATACAGCAAAGGTCTCCAGTTACTTAACCCTCAAAGAATCATCTTCCAGTAATAATCATTCCTCTTTTTTTATTCTTCAGGTTTTTTCTCATGTGTTACCTCTTTGTAAACTTGGCATGTGCCTTGCAAACATTACTTCGAACACCCAACTGGAGACCCCGATTCCGCTACTACCATTGGTAAGTCTGCTTCTTCTCTTCTTTTTACTCACATTTGAAGAGAACCCATCTTTGAACTAGAAAACTAGGAGAGTCTGGCTTCTTGATAAAATTTTTTTCTTTGTCAGCCATTTTATACAGTTTCAACTTTGAATTCTAAACTGAATCCTCACCTCCCATCCTGTTTTCCTGTATCACTTCATAATAACTTATAACACCCAATAAGAATAGAGTAAAAGCACAGAATAAGTATTTCCAGCCTGCTATAAATTTCAGGTTAAAACATCCTTCTCTTGCATATTTATTTTCCTGTTTGTCCCTTACGGCTACGGAGTCAGATGATCTAAGTTCCAATCTCAGCTCTACTGTGTCCTACTTTTGTACCCTTCAGCAAAGCACATAACCATGCAAAATTTAATTTAATTTGTTTGTAAAATGGGACTAATAAATCTAAAGTGCTTATCATAGTGCCTGGTACATTTACTATGAGAGCTCTGCTCTCAACGAACTGTTGCTGCTGTTGCTATTGTAGTTAAGTCTCCCCAGTCCTGAAGGGGTCATCATGAAAGTTTTTTGGCTATCATCCCATCTCTTTCCTCTCATAGCTAAGTGCTCATTAATTATGTCCTGTATGTACCTGTTGCTACATTCTTCTTTGCTGACTTTCTCCTTGTTCCCTTTCTGACTTCACTTACCAATGGTGGGCTGTGATGTAACCTTTACTGGGCAAAAATTTAAATCTTCTACTGATTTTTAATGCCTCTAATGCCCTTTGTAGCTTTAACTTTAGTTCAAAGTTCTTTATGCGGCTGGGTGCAGTGGTTCACACCTGTAATCCCAGCACTTTGGGAGGCCAAGGCAGGCAGATCACCTGAGATCGGGAGTTTGAGACCAGCCTGACCAACATGGAGAAACTTTGTCTCTACTAAAAATACAAAATTAGTCTGGCATGGTGGTGCATTCCTGTAATCCCAGCTACTCAGGAAGCTGAGGCAGGAGAATCACTTGAACCATCGCATGAACCCAAGAGGTGGAGATTGTGGTGAGCCGAGATTGTGCCATTGCACTCCAGCCTGGACAACAAGAGTAAAACTCCATCTCAAAAAAAAAAATTCTTTATGAACTTTTTTTGTTGCTATCTTGCTTCTATTTTTCTCTTTCTCTTTGCCTTATATTTTCATTACATCCTAGTTTTCTCCAGATTAACTCTCCTGTTCATTCTTTAAAATTCATCATAGAGCTAGGAAGTTCATTCTGTACACAGAAAACCTTCAGTAAATGTAGTTGTCTACCTAATTTGTGTGATCAAAACAAGTAATTCTTTATTGTCTGCCAGGTTTCTCTTATGTACCGTCCAAAAATAATAGCAAATTTTTCTTAGTGAGTTCTGCAGTTATGCTAATAAATATTTATAAAATTTTAGAAACGTTTACATGAAAATTTTTTAAAAGATCCTAGAGTTATTAACATTTCTGACTGTCTGTCCATCCCTGCTTTGCCACGTAAGTATTAATTGTCCTCAGAACTACAGATGACTTTCATAGTGTTCTGTTATTTATGTTTTTCCAGCAGTTGGAAACATCTTCTAATGCAAAGTACAGTTTGGGGTTTAGTGCCCATCTACTGACTGTTTCATGATAAGACAACCATAGAATTGAGAATAAGCATTTAGAAACTTTTGTGGCAGTTTGACATTGCTGCAGCATCCAGGCATGTGATAATTAAGAATTCATTTTTATTGCATTTTATAAAAGTTCTATTTATAATAGTTTCAAAGTTTTTAATAATCCCTCACTAGAGATATTTGGAGAAGCACCTCTAACATAGGCTTCTTTTTCAGCTACTTTAAAAAATACTTTTTGGTATTTGTTTTGTTTTTAATTTTTTAGGGCCCTTTCTTTCATGGGAATGAGTATCTGTCTGGCTCTGATGTTCATTTCTTCCTGGTATTATGCCATTGTAGCCATGGTAATAGCTGGTATGATCTACAAGTACATTGAGTACCAAGGGTGAGTGTGGATTTAATCTTGATCACAGCTAAAAGTAGCAAGACTAGCTAGTTTGGTTAGAGCCAGCTCAGTGAAAATACATTAAGGACTCAGGTAATTTCATTTTGTTCATAACTATATTTTGTACCCCTAATTCTCTAACCATCTTACCGATGCAAACTTTCATCACAAGGGAAATCCATTGAGAAGGTATGAATGGATCAGTGGAAAATTGCAAAGGACCTATCCAAATAATGATTCATACTAAACGAAGTACAACACAAATATAAATATTTTTACTCATCTTTTCAGTCAAGGGATTGTCTCTGAAATGAAAAAGAAATTAGTTCTGAACAACTTTGTAACTACTAAGACTTACTAACAACTTTCAAAAATGAGGACTAAATAACATTCAGAAGATTACATTGAACTTTCCCTTCTCTGCATTATTTTCAAAGTAACTTAACTTCCAGGTCTGTTATAATTTTCTAATCTAAATTGCTGTTTTACATTATTGCTTTTAAAGAATTACATAGAAGGACTGAATGAGTGACCCCTTCAGGCTTTATGCTGAACTGTTTATGCCTGCAGTCTGTTGGTGCAGGGTGCTGTTTGTTGATCTGCCTACAGCAGGTTCATTATGTTAGTAAAGAACATTTTATCATTAATCTGGGTTTTAATCTTCTACCTTGCACATATGTGATTTTTAGATTCAGAAAAAAAAAAACATTATTCTTTAAAATTATGCTTACTATAGTTTAAATTTGCCTCTGCTCTTTTCTTTTTCTCACAGAGCTGAGAAAGAATGGGGTGATGGTATCCGGGGGCTGTCCCTCAGTGCAGCCCGGTTTGCTTTGCTTCGGTTGGAGGAAGGACCTCCACACACTAAAAACTGGAGGTAAAGAAATCAACACTAGCAGTATTTGGCACATAGTTAACACACAAAAATATGTGCTTTGTTGATTACAGGATAAGAAAACCTTGTGGCTCAAGAAATTGGTATAATGGACCGGTTTTGAACTATTGTAAATCTTTAATTTTTTATTCCCTTTTCTTCATGTCATTTATGATCAAGATTTCTACAATTTATTATTCTTCCTTGAAGACTGATCAACTTGAGATAGTACTGGGAACATTCAAAATAATACTCTCATCCTGTCATTTCCTGTGATCTCTTCCTTCTGTCAAGTTACCTGTTTTATACAGATCTCCTGAATTAAAGGGTGGCGTCTGTCATTCTGTTCCCCAAACCCAAAATGTTTTCTCCTCCCCTCCAACCCCCACCAACCTCTTCACAGGCCTCAGTTGCTTGTATTACTGAAACTAGATGAAGACTTACATGTCAAGCATCCTCGCCTCCTCACCTTTGCCTCACAGCTCAAAGCAGGAAAAGGTCTTACTATTGTGGGCTCTGTCATCGTGGGGAACTTCCTAGAGAACTATGGTGAAGCTTTAGCTGCTGAGCAGGTAAGAGTCAGACTTTGGATGTATTGGAACTCGGTTTACAGAGCTTTGTGATGCTAAGTAGTAAGACCTCAAACTTCTACTTGAATCTTGTTCCTGAGTGATCTAGGAGGTTTCTCACTTAGTGCTGACCTTCGGATACTTTCTCCCAAGTAATAAAGATGAGCCAGAAAATAGTTATTCTTTCTTCCCATTTAAAACATTACTAGATTATAAGATTATTAAGTCTAAACATTATTTTCAAATACACTCCAAACATTAATCTCAGCACTGAGAATAGTCATGTAAATAAATTGATTGCTTGAATTTTGGAGAGGATTCCTCTCAATCTTGTGACAACAAGGAATACTGACCAAATTTTCTTCTCTTTATTAATCTATGTGGTATCATGAGTAAGATTCCTTTGCTACTTCTGGTTAGCTGTTCTGAACACTAAAGTTCTTTAACAAGGAAGTTGTTTTCACTCTAATACTTACTATATATGATAGAACTAATCCTATTGCTTTTGAAATGCCATTGTGTTCAATGGCATTCATTTTGGAATGCTCATGAAATCCTAAACACTAGAAATGCTGAGGAAACATTAGTCCAGAATAATGCTAAAAATTAATAAAAGGTACACAGGATTGAAAATCAGGATAGCCTAGTTCTTAGTCATATCACTAATTTAATCCGTGCCTTTGTGAAAATCATTCCATTTTCCACACCATTATTCCCTTCCTTTTCCCACCAAGAGGGTGGAGTAAGTGTAAATGAGATATCTCCAAATTGGCTTGACTAAATACAGGAATAGTAATGCAACTACTAGTGTCATAAATAATCACCATTAAAATGTCAAAAAGCATATGGGAATGGGAGAAGCAAAAAAGAAAACATACCTGAAAAAATTTTAAAGTGAAACTGAGTCATCATATTGAATTTCTGGTAAGATGAGTCAGGGCATGACTGGGGCTGAGGCAGGAAGAAGATCGTGTTCACGCTAGTGAATCACCCTGGTCAATTGAGAATGTTGAATAATCACTTTATAGAGATCCCTGTTCCCAGTTTTTTGGTATGGTACAAAGGAACAAAAGCAGAAAAAGGAAAAGGCACAGAAACTCCCTGTAGACAACCAGCTACAGAGGTAAAAATATGTAGTAAGCACTTAGAAAGTGAAAAAGACAAAAGATCATGAAATTCCTTTGGGATAATTTTAACTTTTTGGACTTTTCTGTAGGCGATATAGTTTTATGCAGACTTTGGAAACAGGTGGGGGATATAAGATGGAGAAGGAATAATGGGTTAAAAGGTCGAGAGTGAAGCAGTTCAGTGTTGTGCTCCTGTGTCTCTTTCAGACCATAAAGCACCTAATGGAGGCAGAGAAGGTAAAAGGATTCTGCCAGCTGGTGGTGGCCGCCAAACTGAGAGAGGGCATTTCCCACCTCATCCAGTCATGTGGCCTTGGGGGCATGAAGCACAACACAGTGGTGATGGGCTGGCCTAATGGCTGGCGTCAAAGCGAAGATGCCCGCGCTTGGAAGACTTTCATTGGTACCAACCATTTCTCATACAAACCTAAGGGCCTAAGTCAAGGGGATATAGTTAAATCTGTGTCACCTCAGCCTCTTAAAATAGATGCTATTCCATTGCTGAAGCGTAGTCTTATATGGCAACCCAAAACACTGCCAGTAGTAACACCCAGATTCTGCCCATCCCCTTCAGCTTCACATTATGTTCATGAATTACTTATTTCTGTCAGGTCTTGTGCTAGAAATTATCTCCATATTGCCATGTTTTCATATGTGATTTTCTATATTGATGTCCTCACAGGAATTGGAAGGATTGTTCTTCAGCATCATAATCTCCCAAATTCACATATCCCCCCTTAGAAATGTAGTAATCAGAATATACCTAGTAACACAAATTATGGTTCTCAGTCTAATTGTTAGCTACTCAGATTTTTCACAATGATTTCTGTTACTTAATGAGATATAACCTACTAAGTAGATAGGACCCCTTGCTCAAATAAGTGTAAAAAGAGCATTTGCTTGCCTTCCTGATGCAATCGGAAGCAATGCAAGCCTAAGGAGTCTTCTCTGCTTATTCTTTTTTCTCCCTAGGCACAGTTCGAGTGACAACTGCTGCCCATCTCGCACTGCTGGTGGCTAAAAACATCTCCTTCTTTCCCAGCAATGTGGAACAATTTTCTGAAGGCAACATTGATGTGTGGTGGATTGTGCATGATGGGGGGATGCTCATGCTACTACCATTCCTACTGAAACAGCACAAGGTATTTTAGACACCTTTTTTTTCCACAAAAGTCTTTCTCCCTTCTGTCCTGGTTCACTGGACAGATTCTTCCTTTGATTATATAGTGTCGGGGCTTAGAATCAGAAGAGCTAGAAGTTATTCTGGGCTCTCCAGTGATTCCAATTTCAACCTTAAGAGAAATCATTGTCTTTGTATTTGAAACCTGCCTATCGTTTGTATATTGCACACATATACATGCCCATTCTGTGGTAAGACTAAACTGAAATTTAAAATAGTAAATATTATAGTCTGCATGTTGTCATCAATGTACTATCAGAATAAAGCACCCTATTAATGTATCATGAGCCATCTTTTCTTTTGCCAGTGTTTTCTTGTTATGAAATTAAGGACTCCTTAAAAGTGTATTAAATGTGGTGTTTAGTCAATCTTTTGCCCTAATACAATAACATAGCAAGTAGGAAGCTAGGAGCAAATACCCTCATACTATATATAGCAAGGTTCTTCTAGACCACAATGTCTCTTAGGAAGTAACTTTTTTTGCCTCCTTGCTCTAATTTTCCATATACGTATGTCTCTCTCTAAGGTGTGGCGAAAGTGCAGCATACGGATCTTCACAGTAGCCCAACTAGAAGACAACAGTATCCAGATGAAGAAGGACCTAGCCACCTTCCTGTATCACTTGCGCATTGAGGCGGAGGTAGAAGTGGTGGAGATGGTGAGAAAGCTGAGTTTGAGATACAAGAGGTTCATTCCCCCATTCCTCTCCCTGTCTTCCTTGAATCTTTTCTGGTTTGGGAAATTATTCAGCTCTAAATGTGGATTAATCTCCTAGTGCCATAAAAAACAAAACAAAACAAAAAAAACCCCTAATTTGTTGACCTAAGTAGGATGTATATATGATGCATATTTGATGTTGCTTTTTGGTTTTGCATTCTTGTTTATTACACAGCCCTGATATTTCTGCCAGATTCTCATCTGCTTAATATAGTTGCATGAAATTTTAATTCATATATTCAGCTTAAAATCACACATGGCTTTAAAAAAAAATCGAACAGTATTAAAAAGACTAGAGTTTGTGTTTTGTGTTTCAAGGCAACACGTGTATTGGTTAGATCATGAAAAAGATTCTCAGGGCCTCTGGATTTTATCAGCAACCACAAAAACATTATGTAGCTCAATGACTAAACGAAACAGGGGTGAAACTTAGGTTAATATTGTGAGGCTTTCCCTGGCTTAATTTAGTGACTGGAAATAAAAATGTGTGGTTCATCCTTCTTTCTCCTTTGTGCTTTTTGCCCCCTTTGTGTGATGTCTATGGCAGCATGACAGTGACATATCAGCTTATACTTATGAGCGCACTTTGATGATGGAGCAGAGGTCCCAGATGCTCCGGCACATGCGGCTATCCAAAACAGAGCGAGACAGAGAGGTGAGACCTTACTGCATCAATCCAGTCCTGGCTCTCTAAAGTCTGTCACTGAAAAGGATGATACTGTATTGTTTTTGCAGGATGACAAATTCTTTCCTTCTCACTCTGTCAGTTATTCCACTATAACCCCATTATTACTTCAAAATAACTGAAGATGAAGCATGAGAGAAAATTTGGTAGAATAACTTGTGTTGGACCTTCCTCAGGCACAGTTGGTGAAAGATCGAAACTCAATGCTACGATTGACCAGCATTGGCTCTGATGAGGATGAAGAGACAGAAACCTATCAGGAGAAGGTACACATGACTTGGACAAAAGACAAGTACATGGCATCCCGGGGGCAAAAAGCCAAGTCAATGGAAGGATTTCAGGACCTGCTTAACATGCGTCCGTAAGTTTTCCCACTCCCAAGTTTGTCGTGAAATATAATAACCTAATCAGTGGCACAATTTGTGACTTTGCCTGGATACACAGGATAGAGTCTGTTCATTTCACCCCGAATCTAGCCACCTCATTATTGCTTGCCTGTTCCTACTGGCTCCCAATGAACAGTGTACGCAAGCTAACCATCCTCACTATCCACATAGTTCACTTCCATACTGTGTTCTTAGTATAAAATAAGCGAACAGAGAATGAGGAAACCCAGATATTAATATCATAAGGAAATCATTTTAGGCCAGGAACAGTGGCTTATGCCTATAACCCTAGCACTCTGGGAGGCAGAGGTAGGCAGATCACCTGAGGTCAGGAATTTGAGACCAGCCTGGCCAATATGGTAAAACGCTGTCTCTACTAAAAATACTAAAAAAGTTAGCCAGGCATGGTGGTGGGTGCCTGTAATCCCAGCTACTCGGGAGGCTGAGGCAGGAGAATCGCTTAAACCCAGGAGGTAGAGGTTGCAGTGAGCCGAGATCACGCCATTTTACTCCAGCTTGGGCAACGAGTGAAACTCCCTCTCAAAAAAAAAAAAAGAAAAATCATTTTATCAGATTATCCATAGTCAAATGAAAAAGCTCTGGATATCAAGTTTTTAAGGTTGACTGTATAGCTAGTTTTCTTTTTACCTTAACAATCTTAATTTCTTCCCCACTCAGAGACCAGTCCAATGTGAGGCGGATGCATACAGCAGTTAAACTCAATGAGGTTATAGTTAACAAGTCCCATGAAGCAAAGCTGGTTTTATTGAATATGCCAGGGCCACCACGAAACCCCGAGGGTGATGAAAACTGTATCCTTTCCAAGAGTGGGACTTCCAGTAGGGAAAATCTCCTTAGCCTCTTTATGAGATGAGGTAACGAGGTAACTATAAAAAGTTATTGTCTATGCCCCCACTTTCCCTCTTTAAGGAAGACTTAAAAGTCTTAGGTAAGAATTTTTACAAGTTAATTCTTTTAGGGGAGTTGGGGCAAATATAATTCAGTTCTAGAAGACTTTTTAGATGGTGTATTTGCAACATGACAGCTAATATTCAGTGTATAAAACCCTTCCTCACAATCCTACAGAAAGCATATCCACATCCTTTCTCCTTTTCAGGCTCTACTCGCTTTGCAAAACCTTTTTATTTTGGATAAAGTTAGGGAAGATGCTGAGATAGACCCTCCTTTAACTCAGGGGAAAAAAGAGATATGGATTCTTCATCATACCTTCATCCCAGGACTTCTGGCATGAGGGAAACTGTTCAGCACTGCAACCACATAGATTAGCTTATTCCCACCAGTATCATTTTTAAAAAAGAGGTTTAGGCCAGGCGTGGTGGCTCATGCCTATAATCCCAGCACTTGGGAGGCCAAGGCAGGTGGACCAACTGAGGTCACGAGTTCGAGACTAGCCTGGCCAACATGGTGAAACCCCGTCTCTACTGAAAATACAAAAATTAGCTGGATGTGGTGGCGGGTGCCTATAATCCCAGCTACTCAGGAGGCTGAGGCAGGAGAATCGCTTGAACCTGGGAGGCGGAGGTTGTAGTGAGCTGAGATCACACCATTGCGCTTCAACATACGCAACAAGAGCGAAACTCCCTCTCAAAAAAAAAAAAAAAAGAAAGACAAAAAGGAAAGAAAGAAAAAAAGGTCTTTAAAAAAAAAAAAAGACAAATTGAACTGGCAGAAAAATCTGACTTGAGCAGCTTCACTTAGAAATTACCTGGGTTCGGAGGCGGAGGTTGCGGTGAGCCGAGATGGCGCCATTGCACTCCAGCCTGGGTAACAAGAGCGAAACTCCGTCTCAAAAAAAAAAAAAAAAAAAAAAGAAATTACTTGGGTTCTCTCTAGGAATCTTGTTAGCTGCCCTATTGTGGCTTTTTTTCTTCTTTCATCATTTTTATCTTATTTAGAATAACATTTGTAGGTTTTCCCATTTTTTAAATAACATTTAGAAAATAACAAACCAGGAGTCTTGTATTATGTATGCACCTGGATCCCTGGTTACTTCACAGGGTTAATTTCAATACAAAGTTCAGACTTTTCTGAATATATAATTAAGCAGCTAATTTTATAGCTCTATGATCAGGTAACTTCAGATTATGATGCCAGGTTGTAAGTTTGTACTTTTCTTTTGCCTGTCTCCTTGACAAGTTCTGAAGACATGGAGTTCCTAGAGGTGCTTACCGAGGGACTAGAGCGAGTCCTGCTTGTCCGGGGTGGTGGCAGTGAAGTGATCACCATTTATTCATAATCTACTCTGAATGACTGTGCTTGGCCTGTTTTCTTAAAAAGACCTACATCCTCCATGGAAGTGCCAGCTCATTACTACCACTCCCACTCAACTAGAAGCCTGTGTTGTATACGCATCACACTGAACTCTTGATGAGCTGAGCTTCAAGTACCTGTGTTAAAGAGCTCCCATCTGATCTACAGTCCTTACAGAAAAAGCAAGTACTCCCTCAACATCAGAACAATGTTCAAGTCTTAGGAGCCACGTCTGACCAGTCAAAGGCAAGTTAGAATTAACAAGCTGAGCCAATAAATGAATTGGTAAAAGGGATGCTAGAAATTCAACTGAAGAAAAAAAGTCAAGTACATATTCGACATTAAAGATGAATCTCAGAAGCCATGGTTCAATGATGGCACTGTGGGGATGACCACCAGACACAGCTTCATCTTACTGAAGAATTTATGGTCAAGTATATGTGGACCTATTATCCTTGGCAAGCCAAGATGCGAACATTTTTTAGCTCTATTTCTTTAGTATACCCACTGCTCTAATTTTATATTAGGATACTAATGTACAAAACTTGAAACACAGCTGCAGCCTCTACTTCTTCATAAATATTTCCCCCAAAAACCAGATTTAAGTATCCATACTGTGTCAGTGTATACTTCAACTGTGTCTCTTAGCTCAGAACCTGTTCTGTGGTTGTAACACAGGCAGTTGCCATGGAAATTGTTTTTGGTAAGGTAAAAATTATTTCTTTCAGGTTCCTTTCAAATGGCCAAACTAAGAGAAGTCCAAAAGGAGGCTATTAACATTTACTGCAATAGTCTTTGTTTCTTTATACAACATGGACAAAACATACAAGCTGTTATCTAAGAAGTGCAGGTCATGATGCACATTAACCAACAGGTTCTACTTCCCCCTGCTCCACCCACCGCCCTCCCCCATGCCTTTTTTTATGCCCTCTTATTAAGCATAGGTCAGAAAATCTTAAGGAACAAATTCTAGGAAAACTGGCTAAAAATCCTTCCCTGAAAGCACTAGACTATCTTTTAAAGGGCACATCTAGCAATGGAATTGGAAGTTCTAGAGCCATACTCTTTCCTTGGTACCAGTTACTGAGTGGCTACTCTCCTTATCTACTTTACTAAAATGGCATTCAGATTGGCATTGGCCTGTTCAAGAAATTTTACTTTCACTAAGAAATCTGTTGCCTCATCTACAAAGCCGTAGTTAAGACTTAAGACATTCAACTTAATGCCAAGTATAAGCATTTTCCCCTTTTTCTTTCAATTTTATCCTTCATTTTGACTACAGAAAGTTGGCTCTGAACTAAGAAATTAACCAAGCCAACAGTCTTCTATTTGTTTTGTTTTCAGAAAGTTCAGGCTGGGTGCTATGGCTCACACCTGTAATCCCAGCACTTTTGGAGGCTGAGGCAGGTGAATCACTTGAGATCAGGAGTTCAAGACCAGCCTGGCTGACATGGTGAAACCCTGTGTCTATTAAAAATACAAAAATTAGCCAGGTTTGGTGGCACACACCTGTAATCCCAGCTACCACAGGAGGCTGAGGCAGGAGAATCTTTTTAACCCAGGAGGCGGAGGTTGCAGTGAGCCAGGATTGCACTACTGCACTCTAGGATGGGCAACAGAGCAATAGTTCATCTCAAAAAGAAAAAAGAAAGTTCAGTGTGCCAAGGAAATACTTGTGCAAGCTCAGCTTTTTATTTACTTATTTACTGATCACACAACATCTGGCTTACAAGCATAGGGAAACTGGCTGGCTGAGCAGTAATTTCAAGTATGTGAAATCTTCATTTCTTTTACATACTAGGTATTTAGACAAACTTTTCTTGCCTGTATTCATGGCTGTTTTTGAATTTCAATTTATTAGTCACAAGTAGTGCCACTCGTTTGATTACTCAGTAGGACATGAAGCAAGCTGACCTGAGTGTCACAGATTATTCATTTGACCTGTAAGTAAAGAGAAAACTCTTCACTGTAGCTTAAGAAATTGAGTAATTTTGATTTGTTCCCTTTGCTCTTTCTTCAACCTCCAGGCACACTCAGGATGGCAAAGCAAATAGGATCTTAAGTCTTTTTTTCTGTTCCCCCCTGCAGATGATAGCATTTTTTATAACTCCCACTGCAACACTCCATTGCTTAGTTGCTTGTAACAGTAGTGAGTCAGGTCCCGCAGGATTTAGTATCTTTTTTTTTGAGACAGTTTTGTTCCTATTGCCCAGGTTGGAGTGCAATGGAGCGATCTCAGCTCACTGTAACCTCCAATTCCCAGGTTCAAGTGATTCTCCTACCACAGCCTCCTGAGTAGATGGGATTACAGGCATGCGCCACCACACCTGGCTAATTTTGTATTTTTAGCAGAGATGGGGTTTCTCCATGTTGATCAGGCTGGTCTCAAACTCCCGACCTCAGGTGGTCTGCCTGCCTTGGCCTCCCAGAGTGCTGGCGTGAGCCACTGTGCCTGGCCAGGATCCAGTATCTTAAAGACCCGTACTGTAAAGGTCAGCCTGCCTAGGAATTCCCCCACATTTACACACACCCCTGGCCAAAGTGGTATTTTTGTTTCCACGTAGAACAAAGTATGGGCAGACAATAAAAGTTAGTTTTAGAAGTGCTGTTTGTGGTTGGAGCTCTGTAAAAATCTTTTAAAGGGATAAGGGAATTAGTGGCCATTAATGTAGCCACTACTCAAAATCACTGTTACATGGAAAAATGGTTATTAGGCCAGATGTACACTAATCTCTGTCTAGAGCATTTCATGTCTGTATGTGTTGCTATGGTGTCTCCAAAGTCTTTCATCTCTCTTAATCACTGCAAATAAAGCAATACTGAAAACTTGAGAATGCACCTTAGGGGAAAGGGCTGTTTCAAGAGAAAAGACAAAGGAAATACCTGCCTTTTGAATAAGATCAAGCTTTTGAGTCTTACCTATGACTTTACCAGGGCAGATTAGAAATTCACATCCTCCTACTGCTGACCCTCTGCCTTTAATAGCTATCTTAAAAGCTTAAGTCTGAACTGCAGCATCTGCTTGACAGGTGCCAGCTTCCTCTCGGCAGGGGTAAGATCACTATATGTATCTTCTGTTGCCTCAGATTCCTGTGGCCCCAAGGATCCCACCAATCCTCATTCCCCCCAAACATGTTAACATGAAATCCCTTATTGTGGGTATTAAAACAACAGTTAGACTGTATGCATGTTTATGTGCTCTTTTGTTCTGGTTTATTTTTCTTTTCATCATGTATAAGCTGAATCCAGCATTATTTTCTTACATCTTCCATAAGTGTCTCCCAACAGAATTTTTATGATGTCCCAGCTTGTATTAAATAGAAGTGAAATATTAAGGAAAATAGATTTAAGGGAACTTGTGCAACTTTTTTTATGCATTGTTCTCAACCATTTAATTTATTGAAAGGATATGCTGCTACACTTCATGATTTAGCAGCAGTTATTCTCTTGTTTACATAGAGTTATGATTTTATTTGTTGTTTTGCTCTGTACTGGAAACATAAATAAAGTTTTCTACATTATTTTCAGTCAGGGGTTCTGGTATAGTTTCTTTGTGTTTATAGTAATATGCACATTGTCCTTCTAGGACCTGTCACCCCACCATGGAGAAAAGAGCTTTGTGGTTCTTTTTAACATGAGTGATGATTTTAAGAGTATGCTGAGAAGCCACTGGGCTTAAAGAAGGATGTAAAGACCCAAATACATAGGCAGCAGCTGTTGCTTTCTCAGGTTCACAAAAGCAGTCCTCCACCACTGAACTCCATTCTCTGAAAGAAGAAAGGATAAATAGGTGAGTGGCAAATTAGTGTTAAAAATAACTTCCTGATTCAATTACTTAATACTTTAACCACAAGCTCTATTTTGCCTATTTTTAAAAAAGAACTTCCAGGACAGGCGCAGTAGCTAATCTTAACACTTCGGGAGGCTAAGGCGGGGGCAGATCGCTTGAGCCCAGGATTTCAAGAACAGTCTTGGCAACATGGTGAAACCATGTCTCTACAAAAAATACAAAAATTAGCCGGGCGTGGGGTTGCGCACCTGTAGTCCCAGCTACTTGGGAGGGTGAGTACTTGAGCCTGGAGGTCAAGGCTACAGTGAGCCATGATTACACCGCTGCACTCCAGCCTGGGCAAAAGGGCAAGACCTTGTTTCAAAATAGTAACTTAAAAACTCCTAATGGCTCTTATTTTTTAAGAAACTCTAGGCCAGGCGTGGTGGCTCATGGCTATAATCCTAGCACTTTGGGAGGCCGAGGCAAGCGGATCACTTGAGGTCAGGAGTTTGAAATTAGCCTGGCCAACAAGATGAAACCCCATCTGTACTAAAAAATACAAAAAAATCTGGGCATGGTGGCAGGCACCTGTAATCCCAGCTAATTGGAAGGCTGAGGCAGGAGAATTGCTTAAACCTGGGGGGCAGAGGTTGTAGTGAGCCAAGATCGCACCACTGCACTCCAGCCTGGGCAACAGAGGGAGACTCCATCTCAAAAAAAAAAAAAAAAAAAAAAAAAAAAGAAACTCTAATACCAACTCTAATTTCCCCACCATCAAGTAAGTCAGCTATTCACTGTATACTACAACCACCCAGAATTCAGCTTTTCTTTTGCCTTACCTCAGGGGGCTCAATGAAAGCTAACCAATCTGATGCATGTGTAGGCAACAGTCCCATGGACTGGCACTTGTAAACAGCCAATGCCAAACCCATCAGGTTTCCAATGAGATACACCAAACCCTGAAGAAACTTCTGGCTTGAACTCTCTAACATCTTGAAAGCTGTTGGGGTAACAGAAGATGTCAAAACCAAAAGAACTCTTTCCCCCAATATGAATCAAGCCAACCATATATTAAAATCACACAGACCCATAGTAAGACAGCAAAGAGGACCATTAAAGGCAAAAAGAAAATCGTGGTAAGCACTATATTCCCCTCCATGCCACCACCATTACCCCACCACTCTATATGCCTGTTAGCCAAAAACTGTCCTTAAGAATTTGCCTTTAATTCCTTTTTTTTTCTTTTGAGATGGAGTCTCACTTTATCACCCAGGCTGGCATGCAGTGGTGTGATCTCGGCTCACTGCAACCTCCGTTTCCAAGGTTCAAGTGATTCTCCTGTCTCAGCCTCCCAAGTAGCTGGGATTACAGGCGTATGCCACCACGCCCAGCTGATTTTTGCGTTTTTAGTACAGATGGGGTTCCACTGTGTTGGCCAGGCTGGTATCAAACTCCTGACCTCAGACGATCTACCCACCTCGGCCTCCCAAAGTTGCTGGGATTACAGATGTGAGCCACCACACCTGGCCTGCCTTTAATTCTTAAAACTTATGGAAGGGTTATTGTTTCAAGAATACTTACTGGCTGAAATGGCCATAAGTGCCTGAATGGGTCGCCAGGCCATCATACACACCATCATAGTAGGAAAGATGGAGATGGTATTGCCTGCCATGTACATGATGAAGAGGTTCATGGGAATCTGTTTAAGGGGACCCAAGGCGATGTCCCAACAGCGCTGAAACAAACACAATTTTAACCCTCTGATCAACACCCTCAGATTTGCATGACATTAACAAACTTAACCCACTGACATATATGTAACACTGCACTCAACAACTGCAGAATTCACATTCTTTTCAAACACAGGATATTTATAAAAACTGACCACTTGCTGAACCATGAACAAAATGTCAATCTCAAAGAATGTATATTGTATAAAACATATTCTTTGACTATAATGCAATTAGATTAGAAACAATTTTATAGTAACTAGAAAAATCTCATGTTTGGAATTAACAATCATACATGAATCAATGAAATTATAATGGAAAATGGAATTATAGCAAAAATACCACATTTTGAAACTTGGGGAACACAGGTAGAGCTCTTGAGAAATTTGTAACTTTAAATACATACTATTTGGTTGGTACAAAAGTAATTGCAGTTTTTGCCATTAAAAGTAATGGCAGTCTGGCCAGGCGTGGTGGCTCATGCCTGTAATCCCAGCACTTTGGGAGGCCAAGGCGAGTGGATCACCTGAGGTCAGGAGTTCAAGACCAGCCTGGCCAAGGTGGTGAAACCCCATCTCTACTAAAAATAAGAAAAAATTAGAAGAAATAAAAAACAAAACAAAAATACATATATATATGAAAAAATTAGTTAGGCATGGTGGTGGGTTCCTGTAATCCCAGCTACTTGGGAGGCTGAGGCAAGAGAATTGCTTGAACCAAGGAGGCAGAGGTTGCAGTGAACCAAGGTCATGCCATTGCACTCCAGCTTGGGTAATAAGAGCAAAACTCTGTCTCAAAAAAAAAAAAAAAAAAAAGTAATGGCAGTCTAAAAAAAAGCATCTATTTCAAAAAACCAAAAAAAAAAAAAAAAAAAGGATTTTTGAAAAGATTAATAAAATCCATACTGGTCATGGCTACAGTGACCTATAAAAATAAATGAAAATAATTTTTAAAAAGTCAGTCCAGGCATGGTGGCTTACACCTGTAATCTCATCATTTTGGGAGGCCAAAGCAGGTGGATCACGAGGTCAGGAGTTAAAGACCAGCCTGCAAACATAGTGAAACCCTGTCTCTACTAAAAAATACAAAAAATTAGCTGGGCGTGGTGGACAGTTGTAATTCCAGCTACTTGGGAGGCTGAGGCAAGAGAATCACTTGAACCAGGGAGGCAGAGGTTGAAGTGAGTCAAGGACATTGCACTCCAGCCCGGACTACAGTGCGAGACTCCGACTCAAAAAAAAAAAAAAAAAAAAAAAAGTCAATACTGGTAAGCCTGATGAAGAAAGGAGACAAATATTCAACATCAGGAATGAAAAAAGGCCCATCACAGATCTTGCATATAGGGAAGCGATCATATTATCAACAACTTTATGTGGATACATTTGAAATTTTAGGAAATGGGTAAGTTCCTAGAAAAAATATAACAAAATGACACGAGAAATTAGAAATATAAATAGTCCCAGGCTGGACACAGTGGCTTATGCCTATAATCCCAGCACTTTGGGAGGCAGAGGCAAGTGAATCACCTGAGATCAGGAGTTCAAGACCAGCCTGACCAACATGGCAAAACCCCATCTCTACTAAAAATACAAAACAGCTAGGCATGGTAGCGCGTGCCTGTAATCCCGGCTACTAGGGGGTGCTGAGCCAGGAGGATCACTTGAACCTGGGAGGTGGAGGCTATAGTGAGCCGAGATTGTGCCACCACACTCCAACCTGGGCAACAAAGTAAGATTCTGTCTCAAAAATTATATATAAATAGAAAAAGAACTATAAATAGCCCCTATAACTGTCAAATAAATTACAGTTAAGCCCAGATGGCTTCCCTTGGCAAATTCTACTTAACATTTAAGGAAAAAATAAAGTTAGGCTGGGTGTGGCCAAGGTGGGTAGATTGTGTGAGCTGAGGAATTTGAGACCACCCTGGGCAACATGGTGAAACCCTATCTCTACAAAAAATACAAAAAATCTGCCCAATGTGGTAGAGTATGCCTGTAATCCCAGCTGCTTGGAGGCTGAGGAAGGAGGATCCCATGAGCCCAGGAGATAGGGGCTGCAGTAAGGTGAGATTGTGCCACTGTACTCTAACCTGAGTGACAAAGTGAGACCCTGTCTCCAAAAAAAGAAAAAAGAGAGCTAATCTTACATAAACTCTTTAAGAGAATTAAAAAATGCACATTCCACAACTAATTACATGGGGCCTCATAAATACCATAACCTGACAAGGACATTAAGGGAAAAGTTTATGAGCCGATATTACTCATGATTCTAAATGAAAAAATCCTAAACAAAATATTAACAAAGTAAATCTAGCTATATTAGAAACATTATCATATATATAAATGATATGTGGAAATATAAAGTAAGTAAACAGGACAGGAATTGCCATGAGGGTAGGCTTCACTAAGAAGCTAACATATGAGAGACCTAAAGGAGAGAAGCAAATCATACAAGTACCTGGGGAGGAGCATTTCAGAAGGAGGGAAGAACAAGTATAAAAAGCCTGCAATGGGAGTTTGTATGGCATCTTTAAAGAGCAGCAAGAAGGCTATTGTGACTACCGTGGACTCGGCAAAGGGGAAAATGGTAGAAGTTGTTAAAGATATTACAAGGAGCTTGATCAATGCAGACTTATGTAGACATTATAAAAACGGGCTGTTATGCTGAATGAATGTAGAGCTACAGGAGGGTTTTTTGTAGGAATGACTTATGTTTTAAAAGTATCATTCTAACTGCTGTGCTGGGAATAGACTACAGGGGGCAAATGGCAAGCGCAGTTAGTTACAAGTCTATTGCAGAAGGACACAAAGAGGAATCTTTTGGAAATGAAAGATAAGTTATTTTAAGATGGTGGTTTCATGGGGGTATACCACTGTGAAAGCACATCAGATCCTATCCTTTAAACTAGTGGTTCTCAAATGAGGGCAGTTTGCCTCCTGAGAGACATATGATAATGTTGGAGACATTTCTAGTGTCACAACTAGGCAGGGACACTACTGGCATATAATGGGTAGAGGCCAAGGATGCTGCTAAACATCCCACAGTGCAAGTACAGTACCCCATAGCAAATAATTATCCAGCCCAAAATGTTAATAGTGCCAAGGCTGAAAAAAACATGCTTTAATTGAATGTGGTTGTACATAAACTATACCCCAAAATAACTGACTTTTTTAAAAGTCTACTGCAGAAATCTAGATCGTTGCTTGGGTCGGGATGAGAGGTGAACACAGTAAGTAGTAGTAGATAAAGTCAACAGAATATCCTGACAGTTGGATATGTGGTGTAAGGGAACTAGAGTAGAAAAAAAGATCACTTCAACTGGAAGATGTTGCCACCAAAAGATCGTTTTCAACCTACTTTCTTATATGTTATGTTCCAAACATCTTTTATTTTTCAAACTATTAAGCACTTTTGTAGCTGATATATAAACTACCGAAATACCAGTCTCAAGCAGTTTAGTTTCCAAATATTCAAGATAAGGGCTATCTACAGTAATTTCACCTGGGAGAAGAGGATGGGTATATGAGTCAGGAGTGGCCCAAGGACTACGGTAACATCTATACCTCTGTACCTTCTCCACCAGGATCCGGTCTGTCTCTTGCACGCTGGTATCAGGCACTTGCTTGTCCAAGTAACCGACTGGGTAGAGTGAGTCTCCCTGGCCACTGCCCCGGTCACTTCGACCCCTAAAAAACCAAACCAAGAAACTAAAGCTGCAACCTCTCGACACTTCATATACCACATTTCCTGATCTACCAATCATAGGAATAAAGACGTTCAGATGCATCTACTCAGATTAGACCAAGCTCTCTCGTGTGTTCCTCAGTCCCTTATCAGGAGGACTGACGTAAACATTCTTTGGGCAGAGAAACCTCCACGGCAGAAAAACCGATACCTCCCCAGGTGATGTCTGTATGCCACCCATCTTTTTCAGAGTTATGACTGAGGGCTCGGGTCTCATTACTCTGGTGCTGTTCTGGGATGAAGAGTGACGTACACTTGCCCAAGTGCCTCACCTGCTGCCTCCTCCAGGCCCGCTTAGCTCAATGGCCCACTTGAAGCGCCGGCCTCGGTTAGCCACCAGGCCCCCCTGGGCCGTCATGGCAACAGCTGCGTTCTATACAGCACTGATGCTTCTCACTCAAAAACCTCCGCAACAGGCCCACCTGCGTTCTCTCCTTTGTCTCACTCCGTAAATGCACTTCCGGCGCGTGAATACAGACGTCATTTCCGCCCCTGAAATTGGCGGTGTTGCCGGTTGTGGAGTCCGTGTTTGGATTTAGAAAAGCTGGGAGGAGAGAAAAGCAGGCAAGACTTAGTGCTTCCTAAAGCCATTTTCGCGCGCTCCCTACTTTTTGAATATGCGTGTTATGTTTTCCTGGACCTCTGAGGTGCGCTTTATGGGGCTGAAGGAAAGCCTATACCGACAGCGTTAAGAATTGGTGGGCGGATCACCTGAGGTCAGGAGTTCGAGACCTGTCGGGCCTATATGGTGAAACCCCATCTCTGGTAAAAATACAAAACATTAGCCAAGCCTGAGTGGCGGGAGCCTGTAATCCCAGCTACTCAGTAGGCTGAGGCAGGAGAATCGGTTGAACTCAGGAGGCTGAGGCAGGAGAATCGCTGGAACTCGGGAGGCGGAGGTTGCAGTGAGATGAGACCTCGCCATTGCTCTCCAGCCTGGGCAACAGGAGTGAAACTCCGTCTCAGGGGAAAAAAAAAAAAAAGGCAGCAGCAGCCGAGAAAAGCTTCTTAACCTCCTACCCGCTCCCTGGAAGGAAAGATTCAAGTCCTGTGTTTAAACCCTAGTTTGACCTTGAACGAGTTACTTAGTAGTTTCTGAGTATTGAATGTCCACTGTGTCCCAGGAGCTTTGTTTATTTCATTTCACTTGCACAGTAACCTTGCGAGGTAAACAGTTCTAACCCCATTCTGCACAAAGGCAAGGAGACGTAATGAGCATGGAAAGGAACATGGGCTCGGTATTCAGATAGCCTGCGTTTGTTATTGTTTGTTTTGGTTTTGTTTTCTGAGACAGGGTTTCACTCTGTTGCCGAGGCTGTATTGCAGTGGCGCTATCATGGCTCACTGGAGCCTGGACTTTCCAGCTCAAGCGATCTTCCCACTTCCACTTGAGTGTTCCGAGGAGCTAGGACCACAGGACGCACCACCACGCCCAACCTTTTATTTGTTTATTTATTTTTTCGAGACAGGCTTTTGCTCTGTTGCCCAGGCTGTTCTCAAACTCTTGGTCTCAAGTGATCCTCCCGCCTTGGCCTCCCAAAATGTTGAGTTTACCGGCGTGACCCACTGCACCCAGCAGATGGCCTACTCTTGAATCCTGGTTTCACCACTGAATAATTGTATGACCTTGGGCAAGTTAAATCAATTGTGTTTCGGCCTCCTCATGTGAAAGTTGGATAATCTACCTACTTTCAAGGCTTGTGAGATTAGTGCTCAACACATATGTGGTGTTTTTAATGATGTGTCACAGGATTACCAAATCATTCACACCACTGATGGTTTTTAATGATGTGTTGTTAAATAATGTATGTCATTCTTTGAAATGTTTGGGTTTTGTATTGAATAGTGTACCTTTTTCATAGTTTAACCTATTATTGGACATTTCAGTTGTTTCCTGATTTCCTTCCTTTTATAACCAGTGTTGCAGTAAACATATCTGTTTGTCTTTCCTTATTTCCTTAAGTCATAGTCCTAGAAGTGGAATTGCTGGATCAAAGAGTATGCATGTTTTCAAAGAATTTTCATTTTAAATGCCCACCAGGGGTCAGGCATGGTGGTTCACACCTGTCATCCCAGAACTTTGGGAGGCTGAGGCGTGAGATTGCTTTAGCTCAGGAGTTCAAGACCAGCCTGGGCAACATAGTGAGACCTTGTCTCTGCAAACAACAACAACAAAAATTAAAATGCCCTCTAGGAAAATTGGCACCATTTACATTTCATCATCTTTATAATTGTTTTAAATTGTGAGTTTAAAATGGTACTGTATTTTTTTTAATTTGTATTTCTTTGACTCCAAGTTAATTGATATGGCTGGAGTTGGGGGGAGGGAGATGCTGTGAGAGGTAAGGTTGAAAAATGCTTCCTTGGCCAACTAAAATGTTGGGACTCTTGACAATGATGGTGATGTAGAGAGAAGGTTTCCGCCTCCACTTTGTTTTCTGATTCTAAAAATATCTGTTCATAGCAAACTGGTTAAACAAGGCAGAAATGGAAGTCTTTTGCCCCTCCAATCCTTCCTAAAATGTGTATCTATCTGATTGTAGGAAGACCTAACTTACAGATTGCGTTTTTGTTCCTTTCTACTTTTCGCCTTTACCACGTTCTCTCTGATGAGCCTTATATTCATCTCAAGCTTCTGACCCTATTGGACATTCCTCTTTATTGCATTATGTTCTTCATAATAGCACTTGCCACATTGCAGTTTGTTTGTTAAAGTCCCCTGAGCACTTATTTCTACCCCTCTATAGACTACCCCAAATCCCTTGAGGTCAGAAGCTATATATTATCTTTGAGCCTATTTCATAGAACATAGAAAGTATTAAATAAATGTTTAGTGAATGTGAGTAGATGAAATGGAAAGTAAACACCAAAATGTGAATGTACTATAAATACACTTATGTAAAATAAAACATAGAAAGGGATATACATTGTACTGGGTCAATTATTTTCATGCAATTTTGTCTTAATTTTCAAGATACTCTTCTTATTCCTTTTTTTTTTTTATTTTTTTTTTCTTTTTTTTTTGCAACTCACTCTGTCACCCAGGCTGGAATGCAGTGACATGATCGGGTTCAGTGCAACTTCAGCCTCCCGGGTTCAAGCAGTTTTCCTGTCTCAGCCTCCTGAGTAGCTGGAATTACAGGTGCCTGGCACCATGCCCTGCTAATTTTTCTATTTTTAGTAGAGATAGGGTTTCACCATGTTGACCAGGCTGGTCTCAAACTCCTGACCTCAGGTGATCCACCCACCTCGGCCTCCCAAAGTGCTAGGATTACAGGCATGAGCCACCACACATGGCCTTTTTATTATATTTTAATAAATTTTTTTAACTTACTACTTGTTTGAGACAGGGTCTCACTATGTTGCCCAGGCTTGTCTTGAACTCCTGGGCTAAGCAGTCATCCTGCCTTGGCCTCCCAAAGTGCTGGGATTACAGGCATGAGCCTATACCTGGCCCCTGCTTTAATAAGTTTCAAATGAACATTTTTCATTAAGTTTATCATTGGAATCATATATTCTTTCTACTTAAATACTCCGCTACTTGCTATAAAAATTAGTAAACTATAACCTAAATTAAAGTTGCTTTCGGCCGGGCGCAGTGGCTCAGGCCTGTAATCCCAGCACTTTAGAAGGCCAGGGTGGGTGGATCACGAGGTCAGGAGTTCAAGACCAGCCTGGCCAAGATGGTGAAACTCCGCCTCTACTAAAAATACAAAAAATTGGGCTTGGTGACGGGCGCCTGTAATCCCAGCTACTTGGGAGGCTGAGGTACAGAATTGCTCGAACCCAGGAGGTGGAGGTTGCAGTGAGCTGAGATAGTGCCACAGCACCCTAGCCTAGGTGACAGAGCAAGATTCTGTCTAAAAAATAAATAAGTTGCTTTGCCCTCAGTGGGGTACTCTGGATCATTTATTTCTTTATCCTAGGAATCCTCATGGTATAATTTGTGAAACTCTGTTTCAAAAAATGAAACATCAGGACTAGGCTGAGGATGGTTCGAAGATTAAATAAATTTAAGAAATTCTACATACTATATTCTGCACACACACTCAAGAGATTCTTAGTGCAATTAATATAACATATGAAAATAACAAGAAATAGTTTAGTAAACAATTTCCTATAATTTTCTTTCCCAATCTACTTGAGTAAGGAACCTGTTTTTTGTTTTTTGGGTTTTTTTCTTAATACATTTGTTAACATCCAATAGAATTAGTGTTCCACAGAATAATATGGTGAGGGCAACTGCTCTATATACATGCTAGAATTCTTCAGGAGAAAGATGAAGGTTTTGCCTATAAAGCTTTGCTTGTTATTTTTAAAATATTCAAAGATCATTAGAAATAATAGGTTATTAATGGAAATGGAGCTTTGAGTTGAAATTAAAGTTTTAAGGATTCAAGTTTTTGCACAAATTTTGTTTTGCAAGGAAAAGAAAACTAGTATAAGATTTTCCAGGCCTGGTGTGGTGGCTCATACCTGTAATTCTTGTGCTTTGGAAGGCTCAGGTGGGCAGATCACTTGAGCCCAGGAGTTTGAGATCACCTTGAGCAACATAGTGAAATCCTGTCTCTACAAAAAATAGAAAAATTAGCCAGGCATGCTGGCTTGCATCTGTAGTCCCAGCTACTTGGGAGGCTTAGGTGGGAGAATCACTGGAGCCCAGGAGGTCAAGGCTGCAGTGAGCTGAGATCTTGCGGCTGCACTCCAGCCTGAGAAACCTGGATTCTAATCCTGACTCCAAATGAACTACATGATTCACTTTGAATTAGGGTCTCTTGACTTTAATTTCTTCATCTGTAAAACAAGGGATTTATACTAAATGATTTCTAAGGGTGCCTTCTAGTTCTAAAGTGTATCATACTTGTTTTTTAAAAAAACATATAATGCATACTATTCTTTCCATGCATATACACCTGGAAAAAAAGACTCAAGTCATAGACACATAAAGGAGTAACAGGATTTCAAATAATTTCTTTAAATTGTGCCTTACTGTAGTTTTCGTAGGTCTCAGCATTGTGCAGATACTACTTTTGTAGTTAGAAAAACATAAATATTATTAATTATAACATGACATGATTCTAAACCCAGAAGTGTAATGGTTCTCTGTTGTGGATACATATGAGAATCAACTTGAGAGCTCTTAAAAATATTGATGCCTGCCCGGTGCAGTGGCTCACTCCAGTAATCCCAGCACTTTGGGAGGCTGAAGAGGGTGGATCACCTGAGGTCAGGAGTTTGAGACCAGCCTGACCAACATGGAGAAACCCCATCTCTACTAAAAATACAAAATTAGCCGGGCACAGTGGTGCATGCCTGTAATCCCAGCTACTCAGGAGGCTGAGGGAGAATTGCTTGAACCGGGAGGTGGAGGTTGCAGTAAGCCAAGATCAAGCCTTTGCACTCCAGCCTGGGCAACAACAGCAAAACTCCATCCCTCCCCAAAAAATGAAATTGATTCCTGGACCACACCTT